AATTAGGCATTAGTAATATCTGGATACCACTTTCGCCTGCGAACCTAACCAGGGGCATGGCAACCACTAACGCGCTCAGGTTAGCTCATCGAGTCAATAAGGTCAAGAGCATAAATTAGGCCAATCTAGTGAACAATTTTCGTTTAAGGGACTTGAGCCCAGCCACATATGCATGCTTGGCCCCTCCCAAGTTTCACTTTTTTTCAGGGCGAAAAATCGATTTATGGACGCGGGCTCGGGTGCTGGGACATAGGGCACGGGCACTAAGGGTTCGGGCCCGGCCTCGATGGACCCGGGCATGGCACCGCGAGCCCGGGCCTGGGTATTAGGGTCCCAAGCCCGACCTCCATAGACCCAGGTCGGGCCTCGATGGACTTGTGCCGAGGCGTTAGAGACTTTGTCCTAGCTTTGATGGATCCAGGCCCGACCTTGATGGACCCAGCCTAAGCACCGGAGACTCGAGAACTAGTGTTGGGATTCTCGTGTTTAAACATAGATTTCGGGTCCAAGCGTCAATACCTAGATAATTTTCTGGAAAATGTTTTCCGACTTTTTCAAGGAGAAGATAATTTTCCTGAATTTAAGCATAAGTTTATCGCTGACCAAGAAAATATTTTTCGTTGACTCATTTTTTTAGGTGAGCCGAACGCTGAAAAATAAGGAAAATGTTTTCCCAAAAAATGAGCGGAGCATACGTATATACAAGACTTCATAATGTAGCCACATCACAATACAATTACAATTCGATTACAACAACATCAAATGGTTTTAAATATGAAAGGTTTGTGGAAAGGACTTTCAGCCTCAACACATGGCCCAAACCACGTCAAATCTCAATTTTTTTTTTTTTGCCCTCAAAAAATCATCAACTTTCACCATCGATCCAAATCTGGCCTCTTGCCATCCAATATTGCTACACTGGCAATCCCACGTGTACAATAAATCCACGTCACCTGCTGACATGGATTAAAAGCACCAACTTTCGCTATTCATCTTCTTGGTGACCAATTCAAGGCACAACTCCATTGTTCATCTTTTTCTTCGCCTTCTTTGCAGATTCAAGGGCCCAACTTTCACTATTCACCTTCTTCCCATGATCTCACTCGGCTACAGCTTCACCGGTGCTCACCCATCGCCACTCAGACCTCCGACAACCCCTCTGCACCTCAGCTCCTCGTCATCACAAGGGTGTCGCGGGACTCCGGCGACCATAGATTTGGGGTCGCCCAAAGCTCTCGAGACTCATCTCCGTCCTCGTGGATTATTGAATTCAACACCTGCAAGAATGACACCAACCCTTCCAAATACTCCAACTTCTTCGAAATGTCAAGCAACGACCTGCATTTCATGCACTGCACGTACTCACCAACCACGTACACCTTGGACACGACACGACTGTGATGGACAAAAATCCTGAAGCACAATCGGACGACTGGACGCCAAACCCTCACATTATTGCTCATTCAACAACCTCTCATTATCGTAAACCACTATTGGATTGGGGATTCGAATCGACGACCCATTAGAACACTCAATTTCGAGTTCGAAAAGAGCCTGGAGCATCAAGATTTAGTTGTGGAGCCTGTTGATCGCATTTGGCAAGCCCAAAATTACCGAGTCGGGATTCCTTGAGCTGAACCTGCGTAGCTGATGGCTCCAATCCTCGCCGTGGAGCTTGTGAGGGACACAATCAAAGGATCCCTGATTGATGAGCGGGCGGCGGAGGTCAACCGCACGGGAAGGAGCTCGACTTGACAGTCGCAGAGCTCGCCTGAGATCCGGACGGCCATGGAACGATGAGGTTAGGGTCGGCCACGGTGGCAGCCATGGAGTTGCTTCACTGCCAGATCTGGAGCTCCTCCATCTCGAGATTGACTCGACCTCAGAGGAGCTCCATGGCTACATCTGGAGCTCGAATTGATCGTCATTGAGTTCGTTGTTGAGATCTGGATAGGGATAGCCATGGACACGGTGAGGTGGGGACAACCATGGAGCTCGACTCGACAGCCATGGAGTTGGTCGGGCGGCTGTCGTGGGTGGAGTTGGACCAGATCCGTTGAGGTGTTGCACGGCGACGTTGGGGCAATGAATAGCCGACATGGATTCATCGCTGATATAGAATTGTCACCTCAGATATCTAACGGTGACTTTGGGTGGCTGGTCAACGGAGGCCAGATTTAGACAAGAAGTGAAAGTTGTTGATTTTTTAAGATACAAAAAAAAAGTTGACCACCCGCCTGGGTGGCGCTGCTGGAGCGCGCACTCTTCCTCTCTGCAAAAGATTGAGTGTTCGAATCCGGGTGCCGTGGGTGACTTAACCGGTGCACGTGTGTGGTGGGTAGTACGTGTCGCCCCAGGGTTTACCTCCTACCATTTGTCGGTCCGTGCGGGGGTTCCCTGGGTCATCAAAAAAAAAAAAAAGTTGAGATCAAAATTGGGACACGGCTTAAAATTGGTGCTTTTTTAAGGAATTGGCCCATTTGGGAGAGTATTTCGAAAGGCTCTTATGTCAAAGTTGAGGTACTTAGTAAATACAATCCCAAAAGCCTTGAGCCACAGTTTAGAGTTTCTAAAGCACTTTAGTCTAATACAACTCCCACCCAACATTACTTATCAACATTTCGAAATGCTATTTTTAGTGGTTAATAACCCTTTCCTTCTAACTTTGCCCTTATTTAATTATTCAAATTCCAATTTTACCCTCACCTTCACTTTATTATGTAGATCTAACCAGCATCACACGGTATCGGCAACGAGCTTCGTATTTGACCAACGTCACCTCAAATTCAACATCGATGGCCCTTACTCGAGGTCAATGGACCTCGAGTCGCCTCGCCTAGAATTCGGCGACCTCAATATCCCCTCGCTTAGGGTCGCAACCTTGGTGGCACCTAGGGTGCTTGGGGTCGCACAATCTCGTGCGACCTGCCCTTAAGCTGGTGTCGCCTATATTGTCCTTCATCACCTGAGCTTCTCCATTCTTTTTTTTTTAGGTATAAGTATATCACAAGTCCTAAAATTTATCACGAAAGTGCAATTAAGTTATAAAACTCGTCGTGAAAGTGCAACCGGATCCTAAAACTCTCAAAAAGTGCAATCGAGTCCTTATACTTGTCAAATTTGTCTAATCAAGTCATTCCGTTTATTGCACTTTTTGAAAATTTTAAGACTCAATTGCACTTTCGTGACAAGTTTTTGAACTTGATTGCATTTTTTTTAAAATTTTATGACTCGATTGCACTTTCGTCATAAGTTTTAGGTTTTTATTAACATTTTTTGATAGTTTTAAGACTCGATTACACTTTCGTGACAAGTTTTAGAACTTCCAATACACTTATCCATTCTTCTTTTCTATTATTATTTCAATAATTACTTCAAAGAAAGCTCTTAGGTCCGAAACAAATAGTGGCTTTTTTCGTTAAAAAAAAACCATCGCGTCTATACTCTTTTTACATTTATGCGAAGGCTTCGAGCAAAAACTCTCGCAAGCCCATTAGCCCCCACCCCCCCTCCCAACCCCCAAAGCCAACAATGCCTTCCTGGGCGGGACCCAAAAATAGAAAAATTCCTTCTGCTGTTCAACTCTCAAGCTTGCTCGTTTTGACCAATTCGATCCCCCCACCCGCGGCCGAACATTTTATGAGAAATTCTAATTTTCTTTTAAATCATACGCCGCGGGCTCAAGGAATAACTATTAGGCACGATCCGCGGCCCAATTGGCCCAAACCTTCCCATTGACCGATTCTAACTTCCAATTGAAAGTATGTGATTTCTAGCAAAAAGAAGAAAAGAGATAAAGTTTGTGACTTTCATCGTCTTTCCGAAGTTGACATTGCGACACAGTAAAATCACATATCCAAGGATATTCTCCCATCTTACACTGTAACATGTGTATTTCAAAATCGGAAAGGAAAGGAACTGTTGCATTTCAAAAAATTTAAAAAATTACACTCGGATTTACGTATATGTATATATATATATATATATATTGAAATATTTATAGTGTTTTGTGTTAAATATTGTCGGATTTGAGAAAAGAAAGAAGAAAGTCCTACAAAATAGACACCGAAAGTAAATCAAATGGTTGCAATAGAAAATATTATTCAAACGCTCTCTTAACAAAAAGTTGGGTGGATCTGATTTGTGCTCTTTAAAACTTAATGATTTTCCAATCGGGTTATTCACTTATGAGTTGATCACTCGACGCACTAAATTTTCCTTTTCAAAATTTCCCGTGAAAATACCGACATTGGGCCCATGTGTCGATCGGGCAATAAGCCGGTATGTTGAAAGTAGCCGCCACTTTGACCATGTTAGGTAGTTCATTGAAAAAATTGATTGAATTCCGATCGAACTAAAAGAATAGCAGATTAAGTGATTAAAATCAATTGATTACAAAAATTCATGAAATTTCAGTTGCCACGAGTGGATTTCCCAAAAAAATGAAACTCGATGTGGCGAAGTAACAACGTCGCACAAGAAATTTTGGACGATCTCAATTACGTTGGCCAAAAAGAAGAATCGGGAAAGGATTCAATAAATGGCCGGAAAAAGAAAAAGAAAAACTGGAAAAGGATTGAATCTCTGGGGGAAAACAAGGGAAAAATGATTTAAGTGAAAATTCGACGGCTCTCAAAGGGCATCTCCACTGTCCGCCCTCCCATCCGACGGTGGTTATGCCAACCCTCTCTTCAAAAAACAGCGACATTTTATCACCCCGGGAAATCCGAAAAAAAAAAGAAATTTAAAAAAAAAAACAGAAAAAAAGAGGAAAACGAAACACAACAAACGCTGCTCGCGCCACACCACGACCCCCCCCCTCCCCCCGGCGCAACTTAGCACCCGCCGCAACCCCCAGTGACCACAAAAAAAAGAAAAAGAAATTCGAAAAGAAAAAAATAGGGAGGTGAAAAAAAAAAAAAGGAAAAAAGAGAAGAAAAAACACGCCCATCCCGAACGTTAGAACCGCTTCTCCTCACTTCGTATATAAACTCCCGTTTCCCGGCGACGCTCCGAGACGCGAGAGCGACGAGAGAGAGAGAAGAGAGAGACCTAATCCTCCTTCGCGAGAGAGGAAAAAAGACACGATTTTCCCGAGAAAATCCGAGGCCGGAGATTGCCCCGCCCTCCGATCGGAGCTGTCCATCGCTCCGGCTTCCCTGCGAGTCGGCCCCCGCACGGTGATGGTGTGCAGGGGCGGCGAGTTCGCCGGCGAGAGAGAACGAGCCCGTGCTCCCATGGCGATGGGCTCCGAGAGATCGAAGCCGCTCCACAATTTCACCCTCCCGCGCCTCCGCTGGGGCGGCCAGCGCTACATGCGGTGTATGAAGGTGGCCGCCGCCGCCGACTCCTCCTCCGCGGCCGCCGCCGACGACGATCGCCGATCCCCCGCCGCCAGATCTCACCCCCCCTTCCGGCGGAGGGAGCCGGACTTCGAGCGGCGGAGATGTTTCGCGCGGGAATCGGACCGGGGGAGGAGGGGTGGCGGGATCGTCGGTGCCGCCGACGACGAGGACGACGAGGGCGGCGGCGGCGACTGCGGGATCGAGGCGGTGAGGCAGAAGCTGATGTTTGATCTGCGAGCCGAGACGGACAAGATGAAGGACGAGCTGCTGAGGGAGGAGGTGGAATCGGTGGCCGCCGCGGCCGCCGCTGCGGCAGAGGAGGCCGAGGCTGAGTCCGGGGCTGCTGCAGCAGTGGCGGCGGAGGAGTCGAGGCCGTGGAATCTGAGGACGAGGAGGGCGGCGTGCAAGGCTCCGATCGTCGGCGCCGGCGCCGGCGGGGGGAGAGTTAACAGCTCTCCGTCGAGGACCGAAGACGCCGCCGGCGCCGGCGGAAACGACCCGAAGTCGTCGCCTAGGGTCCTGAGAGGTAACGGCGGCGGCAGCGCGACGCAGAAGACGGAGGAGAGAGCGAAGTTCGCGGTGGCGCTGAAGCGGAAGGAGATTGAGGAGGACTTCATGGCGATGGTGGGGCACCGACCGCCCCGCCGGTTCAAGAAGCGGCCCAAAAATGTACAGAAGCAATTGGATGTAAGCGAACGCGTAATTCTCCGAGTATTCTCCTTCTGAAAATCATCGAACGTCGCGTTGGTTTGACTTCTGGGTTCTGATCTTCTCCGGTTGTCTTGCGTTGCTTTCTCGCAGCTGCTCTTCCCGGGGCTGTGGTTGACGGAGATCTCGGTGGACACTTACAAGGTCGACGAGAATCCTGAAAACGGCAAGGTAATATTGCCCCCGGCCCCGCCCCCCCCCGCCCCCCCACCACCCATGCCCATTCATTTGATTAGCGAGCGGATCTTCTGATTACTTCGTTTCTGCAAAAAGATCTCATCGAGGATCGAAAAAAACATAGCTTTTGTTGGATACACGCCACTCATTAACTCAATATCTTATATTTATCTGCTTGAAAGAAAGCAGTTTGGTCTTCTCAGTTTCTGTTCTTCATCATCGTGTGATTGATGCCTAGTCGTATACATTGATCGTGAGCTTCGAATTACATCAATGTTCGGTTCTTTTTCTCTGCAGAGGTAATACAGGGTTGACCTTTCGAATCGGAAAACTTGATGTTCAAAGGTCTGTGCTTGCTGACTGCTGGTGACATTCGGGGGCTCCCTGCGTATTGGTTCAGACTACCTCTCTGAATTTGAAATGTAAAAAAGATATGGAGCTTCCCTGCTTTTTTAGATCAGTCTTTTCCTCCTTTTTTCTTTTTCCTTCTTGTTCTTTCTGAAATAGCTAATTTTGATGAGGTAGGTAGGTTCTATTTATATCTCTATCCATTTATCACAATAAGCTTCTACAAAGTGGGAACACCGTTGAATGTTGTTAATCCAGAAAGAACCTTTGAGAAATGAATTGTTACTGTTGCTGATCAAGAGGCATTGGCTGCAATGCACTGGCTCTCATTTCTCTTTCCAGTAACTTCTTGTTGGGAAACTAAATACAAGCATCATTTAAAAAGGGTATCTGAGCCTCGTGATTCCATGTTGTTTGCTGCTGCTTTTGAATATCATTCCCGTGCCTTCAGTTTATACGAATTGAGTGCAAAACCTGGAACACTGCATGTTGTTCGCGAGACTAACGTAACGCACCAGAGTTCGATTTTGCTCGATATTTGTTCCACCCGGAGAACTTTGGTTTCATCTAATCTTTCTTTCATGGCAACAAGCCATGAGTCTTGACGTGGTACAGCTGGTCAGTTTATTGCGACTCTCTGATCATGCATGCTGGTTCATTTCATAAAGCTCGATCGAACTGTTTCCATTTTCCGCCCGCTTGGTCTCTGAGTCGGTTTCGAGCATTCGACATATATTTCTGTTGGAACCTGGGTATCCAATCTCTGGCCTCATCTTTCTGGCTCGGCGGCAAACACCAGGGCGTATTACTTCCGGTATGTTTCAGCAACTCCCTTTGTCCGGCCGATTTTGAACCTTTAAGTGGCCGCTATCACGTCTTCTTGAAAAGGTTCCCCCTACTTTCCTATACCCAAAATTTCAGTTAAAGGAATCCGATGTGGACTTTGAAGGTGAAGTAAATATAGCCTTTTTTGGGATTCGTCCGTCGTCTTTAACTCTCTATTGGGGGAACGAGGATTGCATAAGGAAACATCAAGTCAAAGTCAGACTGATATAAAATATATATATATATATATGTATATAACAGAAAGAGCTGCTAAAGGTGGAGGATGGATGGTCTGTTTGCTCCTCTCCTTGCTTCTCGCGCCATGACTCTGTTTCCATCTCTTTATATGTCATGCACCGATCGAACTTTAACTTGACATGGGGGTGGTCCATAGAGTCCACGCGGTGGAGTTCCGTGTACAGATATATAGCTGAGAGAAAGAAGACAAAGTGGCTCCTCAGTTCAGGACCATCTGGGGACCCAAGGCGATGCAATGAATCCTTGCTGTCCGCTTTGTAACATCCTCGGTTGAGAGATATGTTTTATGTTTCTCTAGATATCCTCTACCTATTACATTCTCGACAGGGAATGACACTCGTGTCTTCGCCGCGTAATAGAAGCTACGGCTTTCTCCCATAAAAACCAAACAGGTTAAAAAAAAAGGAACCCCCAAAAAAGAAGAAGAAAAAAAGCGTTTTTTTTTTGCGCCTGCGCTATATTTGATTCTGAGTTCGAAGGAGGGGGGGGTAAAGGTGGCGACTCTCCATCATGATTTGACCTTTGAATTGCGGAGTGCTTTGATGGCCATTTCTGGGCATTAGTTTATTCCCCCCCCCAATCGGGAACTGCCACGTGGATTGCTCGGTCAGCATGCTGACCGCATTCCCCAATTCCTCCCCCCGGTGGAGTCCACGCGTTCAATCATATGCCACGGCCCCTCCCCCCCCCCCCACCCCCCCTCTATGTGAGAAGGAATCTTCTCTTTTGTTTGGGCTGAGGTTCAGTCGGCTCGAGGGAAAGTCCTTTTCTGTCAAAATGAGAATTTTCCCAAGTCCCTAACGATCGCATTCCCTTTTCCTTTTATCTTAACATCAGCGTAGCGATAATAAAGAGAGGAAAAAATTCAAAATAAAGATCCGAAATACTCTCATTTTTTTAAATAAGGATTCGAAGTGGACTTTATGTTAAGGAAGGGTCTGGAGTACCCTTATTTTCTCAAATAAGTACCTAAAGTGGCTATAACAGTTTCAAATAAATGCCTCACCCTGTCGTTTCGCTGGCCATCCAAATTTTCCCACCAACCAAGGGCATTTTTGTCCAAAAATAATTTTAATTAAATTAGATAAAAAAATTTAAAAAAAAGTTTTTTTTTAAGAAAAAGAAAAACAGGGGGCTGGCCAACCAGCCCTCCCCGCCTGTGGCCACCGCCCCATCACTGGTGGGGCGGCGGCGATGGCCGGCGGGGTCGCCGGCATCTCAGCAATGGGGGGGTTGCCGGCCATCACTGTCGCCCCATCGCTGCTGCTGCCAGCCCTTCCCCTTGTTTTTTTCTTTTTTCTTTTTTTGATTTTTGAGTTTGTTTTTTATGGAAAAAAACAGAAAAGGAAAAAAAAGAAAGAAAAAAAGGAAAAAAATTAAAAGACAAAAATGCTCTTGACTATGGTGAGATCAGGCTCCCTTTTGAGACTAAGATAACCACTTCGTACCTTTATTTGAGATAAGGTTCATTTCAGGCCCTTATTTGAAAAAATGAGGGCACTTCATGTCCTTATTTGACACACGGTTTACTTCAAGCCCTTATTTGAGAAAATGAGAGTATTTCAGGTCTTTATTTGAAATTTTCTCTAAAGAGAGCATTTTGGAAAGGAGAGAATTTCAAATTAAATATAAAAAGTCACGCTTTCTCGACGTGTATCTTTACGCTATGTATAATTGAAACGATTGAATATACCCTTTTCTTGAAAAATGGAAGCCAAAAAGGCTATAACCTTAAGTCACCCACGGACGGCCATATCAATCGATATGGCGGCTCTGAACAAAAAGAAAAATCGATATGGCGGCGAGGTCTGTCCCCGATGGCGAGTGGCTCGAGAGCAACGGCGGGGAGGATGCTACAGTGGCAAAGCTCCGGATTAAGATTAGGATGTTGGTTGATATTGGTGGGTGTTCAAACGGCAAACCGGAGGAGAGAGATAGTCTTGGATGGGACATAGATGTCTTACTCGGTCGGTACTCACATTCAGTGTCTCAATCTTCTTAATCATTGATCCACTGGAAAGAAGCTCTCTTGAAATTTATCACTCAGCGGGATTAGTGGCTGAGATGTGTGTTTGATAACCACATCACGTGTTGAAATTCCGGTATTTATTGTGATTAGGCGCGTTTGATAATCATTAACCACACGCAACTTGATTAATTGGTTTGAGTCAAAAAGCAAATTGATAGCTTATTTCATTTGTTATCAAACAGCATTTTTCTTTTCATTTTCTAGGTATAAAGACCCTAGCACTTAATATTCAATACTTAAATTTTCAGCACTCATATTTTTGTCTTGGCAAATGAGTAAGCTCCGAATATGAGCACATACGAGGTAGAGAATCTTCATTTGTCTCGGAAAGAGAAATTACAATATTTTTGAGTATGAAAGACCGAAGCTTAAATTGAAGCCTGAAATATTTAGTGGATTACATAGAAGATTTTCCTCTTGAAGTATATATTGCAATTTATACAGAAATATGTCATGATCAGACGATGTAATATTATGCGTAAGCCTTTTATGGAAATTTTCCAGTAAAAGCTCGAGATTAAACAAATATTGCGCTAAATTCCCATGTAACCCGTTGTATTTTATATAAATTAGCAAAATCTATGAACGGAGAGGAATAACACCATATAGCCAAAAAAATGAACATCAAACAAACATTTGTTTCTTAAGTATTTTAAGCCACGGAATAGCCGTGGATACCGGGGTGAGAAAATTGAGAAAAAAATTTGCATCCTTTTAACGGTCTTTCACGGAGAGACTCCTGAGGTGATCACTGAGTAGGCCCAGATTGGGTTGGGCCGGGCCCAAATTTGTATTCAAACGCGCTCGCTATAAGATTTTTCATAGATAAATTTTTGGACCATACCGGAATTTTCCATTAAATGTCTCCGTCCAAACCCGTCTAAAAAATCTTATAGATTAAAAAAGCCCGTAAAAAAATCTTCGACCAAAAAAAAAAAAAAACCCGTCTAAAAAAGCCCTCTGGCCCATATATCTCGGGCTGGGCCTGCACCGGCCCGTTGAGATTTCGGGCCCACGATCGAGCCTAAAGGGAGCCAGGGATGTCCTCTTCAAGTGAAATCGCAGCATGCAAGTGGGGAAAAAGAATTGGCACAAGAGTTTACTTTGGCAAGGACTTTGTCCGTTGTTTAGGTCAAATACATGAAAAGAAACGAAAATTCAACTGCTTTGACACCATCACAATGTTCGTTTCAAGGGAAATGAATGATTGAGGAAATAACTTTCTAAACATGATTGCTTGAAATAATCAGCCAATGAAATTTTTTTTTTCATCATTGACAACAATATATGTCTAAGCATTTTCGTGAACAGTGGAGATATTTTAATTTCGTTCATTTTCACAGGCGATATAAACAATCATTTTTAAGAGGGATGTTTTTCATATCATTTATTCTTCGCAAAATAAATGCACTCTATAATTCAGTTTCAAGCTTAGGTTACTGAGCTAGGTGAATTGACCCTAGATTCATTTTCTTTTAGGAGCCTCGTTTTGCATTATTAGAATGTAGGGATAAGTGCACTACAAGTCCTAAAAATTTGTCACAAAAGTGCGTTTGAGTCCTAAAACTTGCAAAAAGTTCGTTTGAGTCCTAAAACTTATCAAAATGGTTCGTTTGAGTCCTAAAGTTAACACCGTTAGATTTACTAACGGAAAATGTTGATGTGGCGCTGACGTGTCATTTTTAATTATTTTTCTTGAGACACGTGGCGCCATGTCAGCAAAAATAAAAATAAAAATAGAAAAAACTGAAAAAAAAAACCAAAAAAAACCAAAAAAAGGAAAAAAAAAAAAAAAAGAACCGGCGGAGGTCGCCTGGGCCTTCCCGAAGCCCGGCGACCCTCGCCGGCCCCGGGCGAGGGCCGGCGACCCTCGCTCAGATCTGGGGCGAGGGTCGCGCCCTCCCCAGATCGAGGGTCGCCGGCCTCGCCGGACTCGCCTGTGGCCGGCGAGGGTCGCCGGGCCTTCCCGAGCCCGGCGACCTCCGCCGGCCCGGCGAGTCCCGGCGAGGGCCGGCGACCCTCGATCTGGGAGGGCGCGACCCTCGCCCCTGATCCGAGCGAGGGTCGCGGCCTCGCCCGAGGCCGGCGAGGGTCGCCGGCCCTCGCCCGGGCCCGGCGAGGGTCGCGGAGCTCGGAAGGCCCAGCGACCTCGCCGGTCCTTCCGGCGCGGCTTGGCCACACGGTTCTTTTTTTTTTTCCTTTTTTGGTTTTTTTGGTTTTTTTTGGTTTTTTCAGTTTTTTCTATTTTTATTTTTATTTTTGCTGACGTGGCGCCACGTGTCTCAAGAAAAAATAATTAAAAACGACACGTCAGCATTTTCCGTTAGTAAATCTAACGGTGTTAACTTTAGGACTCAAATGAACCATTTTGACAAGTTTTAGGACTCAAATGAACTTTTTGCAAGTTTTAGGACTCAAACGCACTTTTGTGACAAGTTTTAGGACTTGTAGTGCACTTATCCCTAGAATGTAATCCGGTGACTAAGGATTGCAGTTACGTAGTTTCGACATAGGGATGATACGGAGCATCTTGTTGTGCGTAAAAAATATTTTTTGCCTGTCTTCCAAGTGGACAAATTCCATTTGGCAAGAGAGAGATGTGCTGGAACTTTGGATGCATCAGCCAACGTTGCGATCCGACTTCTGGTTGTTAAATCTTCTTCGAAGCAACCAAAACCGACTCTCGGGTCCAGTTCGGGTGGATCCTGACGTGGATATTGAATTTCTTGTTCGAATTTATTCATTTCATCGAAAAAAATGCTGACCAAAGAAGAAGAAAATGCTGCATTAGCCATCAGGTCCTATCTCTTGAAAATATATAAAAAATGGCGCATCAGTGCCATGTGTCTTGAGAAAATAATAAAAGTTATGTTAGCATTTTTCATTAGTCAATTTGGACGGAATTAACGGAGGGAGTTGATTACATCAATTTAACAAGTTATATGACTCGATCATACTTTTTGAAAGTTTCAATATTCAATTGTACTTTTGAGATAAGTTTTAGGGCTTCGGACGCACTTATCTCTTTATTTTTTTGGCTAAATGGTTACATAAGCACTAGGCCATCCATAAATATTTCCTTGAAAATACTTAGAAAAAACAGAAGTTCAAAAGTCGAAAGTGAAGGGCGAGGGGTTGCAACCCCTCCCTAAACGACGACAGGGGTAGTGAGATGTAAAGGGGCGTGGTGCCATTTGCAACGACAATTGAGGGTCGTGTGACCCTCTGTTTGCAACGACATAATGCAACCATTTGTAAGGGTTGCAAGACTCTTAGCCATAGTCGTGGAAGGAGGTGACGGCCCTTCTTAAATCGTAATAAATGCCGTGGTCTACAATTATTTCGAAAGGTCACGTTGTGTCAGTGATGAATAGTTCCCGACCCCGTGCTACTATTAGGAGAAAAATCGAAGAAGTTTCGACCCTTTGGTCCTATTTCCCCCATTTCAATCTTTTCGATATTTTTAACCATCGGGCTTCTTTCTTTATTCCTATTTTCCAAGTTAAGTTGATGCGATGTCTAGTTAGGTGGCACGTCAACATTTTGCTGGAACATTGATCGAACTATTGTAATTACAGCGCATCGATAGTAAAGATCCGAAAACCATCCACACGATTGCAAATACCAAATTAAACTTTGGAATCGCAAAGACGCTTGGCGTGCGGGGGTGACGATTCAAAGTCAATGGTTTCGGATACTCGTTTTGCCTTTTCCCTTGAAAATCTTCGCAGACACGAAAAGGAATCTGGAATCTCTCATTTTCATCTCCTCCCCAAATTGCCCCTCCAGATTCTCTCTAATTTCTTCCTCGTGCCCTCTCCCCCTCCTCCTCCCCCCCCATTTTTGCTAGGTTTCTTGGAGGGCTTATCGCATTACTTTTCTCAGCAGCTTCGTCTCCGTCTTCCTCCGTCCGCGAGCCTCCTCCTCCTCCTCCTCGGCGCCGGACGCGGGATAAATTTCTCCGGCGAGGCGAGGCGAGGCGAGGCGAGGCGAAGCGCCGGAGAGCTGGAATCGGCTGCCGTCGCTCGGACGCCGGACATGGTGAAGGAGGACGAGTCCAGGGACAGGGCGCTGGAGCTGTTCCTGAAGATCGGCCTCGACGAGCGCACCGCCAAGAACACCGTCGCCAACGGCAAGGTCACTGCGAATCTGACGGCCGTGATTCACGAGGTAACCGCGATGAGGCTTGAATCTCGCCGTGCTTCGGTTCGAGGAAGATAGGAGCGAGCGAGCTCGCGCTGCTTTTGCTTTTGCCTTTTCTGTTTGCATGAGTAGGCGGATGGCTGGAAAACGATTCGCGAGTTCGTGAAGCTGTGAAAGTTAGCTGTGAATTGATCGATTCGCTGAACTTTTGTTTGTTGTCCTTCCTTTTTTTCTTTTTTTTGGTCTCAAGGCTTCTGTGACGGATGGATGCGACAAGAGCATCGGGAATCTTCTCTACACGGTGAGTTTGCATTTCATTGATTCAGCTCGTGACAGAATTTAAGTTCATCGGGGAACAATTTATGGAAATGATGCATTTGTTTCGAGAGAATTCGATCGCAAATTAGTTGATTCTGGTGTTTAGCGGGTGGGAAGTGGTTTATGAGCTTAATTGTTGTTTTCGTCTGTGATGGATATGCTGCAGGTTGCTACGAAGTACCCTGCCAGTGCTCTCGTGCACCGGCCCACATTGCTCGAGCACATTGTGTCAGCAAAGGTGAGGACAAAATATAAAACTTTGTGGTGGACTCTGTCATATCTCTGTATTTTGTGGGTATCTATTTCAACTATTTTTGCACCATCAGATTTTATCTCATGTCTCAACTATGATTAGTTGGCAAGATGTTAGATAGAATAATTGCGGACTTGGCAAAATGTCAGGTAAATAATTTACCTCTTATTCATTGCTGCTTGATTGTATGCAGATTAAAACTACAGCTCAGCTAGATGCTGCATTTTCATTTTTCTCCAACACTGGTTCAGAGAGCTTTAAGCTTCATGAGTTTGAAGAAGCGTGTGGTGTCGGTATGCAAAGCACTGCTATCTGTTGTGAATTCCAATTGAATATTAAGATTTTCAATTTGTTCATATGCTGTTTTGGCACGCATCTTGTGATGTCTGCGTGTTCTGGGCAGTTTCATTCGGGTTGCAAAACACCATGCCGTCATCACATGATTATGCTTATGTTTGATGTAAAACAATTTTAACCTTTATGATGGTTCTCTCGTGCATTGTTTCATCATATTGCTGATTTTTGTGCAAGCAGGAGTGGAGGTGTCCGTGGAAGATATTACACAAACTGTTGGTGAGATTTTTGAAGAGAGAAAGAGCTCAATCTTGGAGCAGCGTTATCGAACAAATGGTAAGAGATGATTTATTATTACTATTATCAAAAGGCTGAATTCTATCATACTTTGATGGCTCAGCACTTTGATTTCGACCTTTTGATTTCTTGTTGTAAAACATTGTCCTAAAGTATCTGATGTGCTTTTCTCCCCCTTTACAAGCATTTTTTAGCCCTGACTACTTTATGAGAGCTAAGCATCACATTTTTATGTGTCGGTTGCAGAAAGGTCCTTTATTGTCAACTTCCTCTCCGGGGGTGGGGTGGGGTCTCCCATAAATAGGAATCGATGGATGTCTTTATAGATCCTATTAGTTAGTAAAATTTATATGGAATTTTAATGCTGGGATTATTCTTGTCGCACAGTTCAGCGTGTTAACTACCCTATTATGCTAATTCATACATAGTATATTTCATGGCATATCCTTTTCTAGTGTTGCCGATTTCAGTTACTCATCATGGAAAGAAAATGCACTCTTTGATTACAGTATCTAATCGTTTCCCCTTTGCCTATAGTGGGTGAATTATTTGGACATGTTCGAAAAAAGCTGCCATGGGCTGACCAAAAGATTGTTAAGGTACCGTCTTAGATTTTGGATTCCTAGTTGTTCAAACTTATGATGTTATTCTTTTCCCCTTTTTTTTTTTTTTCTCTTCTCACTATTTTATTTTCATTTTTGATGTACCCGTGTCTACTTATAGCAAATCATAGATGCAAAAATGCATGAGTTGCTGGGTGAAAGGACTGCTGCAGATGATGAAAAGCCTGCAAAGAAGAAGGAAAAGCCTGTGAAAGTTGAGGTGGGTTTACACCAGGATGTAGAGTTTGGCTTTTGGTTTTAAGTAAGAGGGCATTATTTTCATTCCCTCTCTGGTGTTGAGTTGTAGGAGAAGAAAGTTGCAGCGGCTGCTGCACCACAGCCCTCTGAAGAAGAACTTAATCCATTTAAGGATTTTCCACAGCCAGAGGATAATTTCCAGGTAAGATTTTACCTTTTCACTCTATTTTCCTTTCTTGCAATAGACTTATTTTGAGTACTGGGCATATTTGGAAGCTTGCTTTCAATTAAATCATGCGCAAGCATATTCTTAATTGCTTTTTAATTCTTTGATATTGTCTGATCAGACAAACATCTGCTTAATACATTGTATGCCTCCAATTATCAGGTGCATACTGAGGTTTTTTTCAGTGATGACCGTGTGTTGAGATGCTGCAATTCAAAAGAAATGCTCAATAAGCACTTAACAGTGACAGGCGGAAAAGTTTTCACTCGATTTCCCCCTGAACCAAATGGGTATCTGCATATTGGTCATGCAAAGGTAATACCGAATTATTGTTGAATCATACTTATGTTCACTTAGTTTTGCTTATGGCTGCCATTTGTGATCTTGATGACTACAGGCCATGTTTGTTAGCTTTGGTCTGGCTAAAGAGAGATCTGGGTGCTGCTATTTGAGGTAAGGAAAAATACATTCACTCCACCGTCCCCCTATAATATACGTAGTGCGTGCACGAGCGGATCTAATTAGACCATCCACATGAGTTAAATTTTTAGAATACCTAACGTATGAAAAGTATTTCGTTTTCCAGACCGTTGAATGAAAAATGACGAGTAGTTCAGTCTAAGCATGGACTGCTTTATACACGTTCTTTTAACACTTGGTAAATTAGCTTATCAGGCTTTAGCAGTGAAAATGGTGGATATTCATCTTACATAGACGGTCCATTTTCATTGAACTAAATGTAAGATTCTTATAAATTGTTTACCATTGGGCAAAAAGCTCCTTGAGCAACTATTGGGGAGCTTTGTTTGCTTAGTGGTTAACTGTTGCTGCAGCTCTAATTCCTTGGATTGTCAAATCTTATCGCCAGGTGGAGTGAGTTTAGATATACTTAGATTGTGATTATTATGATTTTCTATCCAAAACTTTCTTAGGAATTAAGGGAGGCGGGCTTACAGCTAAAAAAGTAAGTTAAATGAGGTTTTGGCATAGAATGGTCGTGTTTTTCTACCTTATGCCAATCTAGATGTGTCTTTCTAGCTCCAAAGTAGTGAAAACCATTCTTAGCCGCTTGAGGAAACTAAATACTTAACTCAAGTTTTGATGCGTTGGGGACTTGAACCGGAGGTATACCTAACTAACTTCTCTGACTTAAATTTTTTTTCTTCGGGCTCAAGAAGTTAATAGCCTTTACTTCCCCCAATGTTCTCTACTTGATATACCGTAAGTGAAATCCTTTTGAAGATTGAAGACTCAATTTTTGATTCGTTGGAGATTCTAACCGGAGGTATACCTAATTAATTTCTCCGACTTAAAAGTTTATGTGGGCTCAAGAAGTTATAGCCTTTGCTTGCCCCAGTGTTCTCAAGTCTATCTAATGTAAGTGAAATTCTTTTGAAGATTGAAGATGGTCCTCTTGGAGAGGAGAAAGGATTTTAGTGTTAAAACACTTGAATGAAAAAGAAGTAACTACAAAGGAAATAACATCTAACGTTTGAAATGTGCAGTAAGTGTTATCCTAAAAGACATATGAGGAGCACTCTTTGTGAATCTTAGGACATTGATGTTCTGCTTTCTACATGACCCGCCTTTTACATATATGGCTTCCAATAGGAAGGGTCCATACTGCCTTTCGGTCGTCCAGTGAAGTTCTAGCTGTCGATTTATACTCCATGAATTCTTTAAACTTTAGCTTTAAGATGCATAGTTATAGCTACTAGTGGTTGCGCTGGTGTTCTAGTTTGATTTTCCCCTAGACTCTGTTATGGATTATGTAATCGTTCCTTTGTATTCTTCTGAAAAGGTTTTCCTGTTCGTTAGCCTTCATTTATGTTCTCATGGCATTTGTAGGTTTGATGACACAAATCCGGAAGCTGAAAAAAAAGAGTACATTGATCATATCCAAGAAATTGTTGATTGGATGGGTTGGAAACCTTTCAAGGTGAAATTTTCTGCATTCATTGACTTGGTATGTGCTTCGAGCCTTTTTTCTGGGAGAAAAATCTGAGATAACTTGAATTTTTGGTAGATCACTTATGCCAGCGATTACTTCCAAGAGTTGTATGATCTGGCGGTGGAGCTTATAAAAAGGGGTCATGCTTATGTTGACCATCAGGTGAGCCGTTCGATTTCCCTTTGGCTTAAATCTTCATGCTGCTTTGGGTAGAGACAATTCTGTTTTCCCCCTTACTAAGAGAGAAACCATGTGCAATGAATGTCAAATACTTACCAGAAAGTAAATGGCATGGCTCTTATAGCTGTAAATTGGATATGACTAAGGTAATTACTAGTGTACTCATTTCACTTTGTGATTGATTCTTTTTCCCAACTAAAATTATTGCTGCTTTAGGCTGAGCCCTTGTAATTTAGGTAGCTTAGGAAGAAAACCATGTGCAGTGAGGTTCTATTTCTATTGCAGCTCTGCTAATATGTTGCCCAGCATATGCTTCTCCCTGCAATTTAGTTATATTTTCTCGCAAATGTATGCTCAATCTTTAGTCTAACATAGCTTTTGGAAGCAGGCAAGTTAGATATTTTGCCACGTGGATGCACTCATGCGAGCAATTCTTGATTTCGTGCGACAGTCTCACTTCTTGATTTCATGCACCGGTCACTAACCTTTTTGCTGCAAAGATTTTAAGAAATTTGTCTATCTTGTAGTGTTTAAGTTATGGGAATGTTGGAGAATTTTCTGGTGTTGGGCACTTCTCATTGTGCTTTATCCGTTGTTGATTTAATCTCAGTTTCTTTCAATGCTTGAATTATTTTGGTAGACACCCGATGAAATAAAGGAGTATAGGGAAAAGAAGATGAATAGTCCATGGAGGGACAGACCTATTGCAGAGTCATTAAAACTCTTTGAGGATATGAGAAGGGGTCTGATCGAGGAAGGGAAAGCAACACTTAGAATGAAGCAGGATATGCAGAGTGATAACTTTAATATGTATGATCTCATTGCATATCGTATAAAGGTATGCCTTTTTACTGAATTTCTCTTTAATATCTCGATCTTTTTTTGTTCTTGGTGATTTACATTTTGGTTTTACTATCTGTAGTTTACTCCTCATCCTCATGCTGGAGATAAATGGTGCGTCTATCCAAGCTATGATTATGCTCATTGCATTGTTGATTCCCTTGAAAATATCACCCATTCGGTATGTCTCTTTCTCTTTCTTTTTATTGTATCTCAGTGCATCAAATCTATGGTGTTCTCATTTGCTAAATGATTCCTGAACATATATTAGTACTACTGTTGATAAGAGAATAATAGAGGCACAGGTTTTGGGGAAAGACCTCTATGTGGAGTTATGATGTCAAAGGGCAACCATGGCATCATTCTGAGTGTAAACGTCAGCAATTAGTTTGGGTGTCGGAGCTTTTAAGGAAGTGATGCATATTAATGAGATGGGAAGGTTAGGATGGGCAACCATAAAGAGAAAGACCTAAGTTTGCTAGTTGATGTGAAGCTGAGGCTTTGTTTAGGGGCACTTTCATTATGGTAGTTGTATTTCCTTTGTTCCTCTATCTGATGATAGTGATATGCCTAATACGGATTGATGAAAACCTCCTGTGCCCTACTTAAGTAAAATATAGGATTTCATGTGAATACCATTTAAGGCAGCATTAGAAGTGATAAGCAAATGAACTATGGTATATGGGATGTGGTTCTGGATTTTGTGGCATGTTAGATACTTTATTGCTCTTTGCTTTATTTTCAGCTAATAAATGAACAACTATGCGCAGACATTTTAATAGCACGAACTCTTCCAATTGAATATGATCAAGAACGAACGAAGAATAGCCTGTAGAGTCAAGATAGTTAAATTGGATTTTTGTCATTATGTTTGAGGCTAAAGCTACTGATTTTATATATATTCAGGGATGAGATAAGGTGCAGTATCTTTTCAATTAAAGGGAAGTGGGATCTTTCTTGATTGATGGCTCACTTCTGAGGCTCTTTATTCAATTACTCGACTCTGTCAATATCCCTTGCTCGGGCAGTTGCTTGTAGTTACTGGAACTCCATCTAGGGAGTAGACCATTTTTGCTTGTTTTGAAAATGGCATCTTCCAGATGTTCTTGAAGCAGGTTTTCGCTTAATGGCCTAAAATTATGCAATAGTTCTATTAATTTTAACCTTGCAGATATACATTTTTAATTTACTGGTCTGGACAATCATTACTTTGTCTTATAGGAAATGTAATATATGAATGTCCTCAAGGGTGGGTTCGTACTAGATTAATTCATGCCTGTTATATTTGTACGTTGGTTGCTAGACTTGGATAGATTGCACATTTTCATGATGCTCCAAGCAGTAATGATATGTGAATGATTTCCTTTCACTAATGTGGTCTTTGGTCATTTAGTCTTGTCTTTCTCTCTGGGCTTCATGCCTGTAAATTTTCTTGTCTTCTGCTTGTGTTGTCAACAGCTCTGTACTCTTGAATTTGAGACGCGGCGTGCTTCCTACTATTGGCTATTGCATGCTCTAGACCTATACCAACCTTATGTGTGGGAGTACTCTCGGCTCAATGTCACTAATACTGTAATGTCAAAGCGGAAGGTGAGGCAGAAATTTGAACCATGAGCAGTATTTGATTAGCGTAAAGTTGTCAATCCCTTTTCCACATATGAAGTGTGTTCTTGTTCTGTTGCAGTTAAATTATTTAGTGACCAAGAAATTTGTTGATGGTTGGGATGACCCACGTTTGATGACCCTAGCTGGTTTGAGAAGAAGAGGTGTAACTTCAACTTCCATCAATGCTTTTGTTCGAGGAATCGGAATCACTAGAAGGTTGAGTTTGTTAAATATCGGGCCAACCTGAGAAAAAAATTGCAAATTGGTAGTCTCTTACTTTAAATTTTCTATATTCTCAACAGTGATGGTAGCACAATACGGTTGGATCGCCTTGAGTATCACATTAGAGAAGAACTGAACAAAACAGCGCCTCGAACCATGGTTGTTCTATATCCACTTAAGGTGTGCTGGATTTGTTCTTTATGTGGACCAATGATTGTTTTCGCTGTTTCATTAACTGGTTAATATTTTTCTCTTAAGGTTGTTATTACCAACTTAGATGCTGGCAGTGTGATGGATCTGGAAGCAAAGAAATGGCCTGACGCTCAAACAGATACATCTGCCATCTACCAGGTAATGGCCACACCATACTAGGCACAGATGGTTTTAGACTTTTCATTAATAAAATCTAAACTTTTTACATGTCAACTACATGGGAATTTGTAATTAACATTGAATGCAGCCATAGGCTTTTTATGAGGTAAAATATACCTGGATTTTCTGGTCTAACTTACTGTAATTTGGTAAAAGAGATCTACTTTATTATTGAGATAAACCAAGTATATATAGGCTTAGGGTTAAGCCTTGATACAAAGACCTAAATACCCTTTCCTAAAATAAACCCAACTTGCTAATTATCTAATAATAAAACTAACACTCCCCCTCAAGTTGGGGCATACATATCAAAAAGACCTAACTTGCTGCAAATATATGAAACTCGTCCACGCCGTAGAGGTTTCGTGAAAATGTCTGCTAATTGCTCCTCAGACCGTGTATGTACCAGCTGTATATCACCACAATTCACCTTTTCCCGAACAAAGTGACAATCAATCTCTATATGCTTAGTTCGCTCATGAAACACTGGATTACTAGCAATATGAATGGCAGATTGATTGTCACAATGGAGAGTAGACGATCCCGCCATATGTAATCCAATCTCGATCAACAACATACGAATCCACTTGAAGCTCACTTGTAACGTTAGCCATAGCACGATATTCTCGCTTCGCACTAGATCGAGAAACAAGCGATTGTTTCTTACTCTTCCACGACACAAGATTACCTCCAAGGAATACACAGTACTCGATATAGACCGGCGATCTACGGGACAACCAGCCCAATCTGCATCAGAGTATCCTGTCACCTCCAAAGAGTCTGGCTCAGAATAACCAGCTACATTAAGATGATCCCGATTATGGAATACAAGCCCTTGACCTGGGGCTCCCTTCAAATATCGTATAATATGTAAGACAGCTTGCCAGTGAGTAGTACGAGGAGAGCTCATGAACTGACTCACCACACTAACAGCAAATGAGATATCGGACGAGTAATGGTAAGATAATTCAACTTGCCTACCAACCGACGATATTTTTCCTGGATCATGAAGAAGCTCCCGTGTTCGTTATCAAGCTTCACCCCAGGGTCCATAGGTGTATCACCAGGCTTAGCATCGTGCAAGCCCACCTCCTTAAGAATATCAATGGCGTACTTTCTTTGAGAAAGAGCAATACTATCACCAGTATATGCAACTTCGATACCGAGAAAATATCGAAGTAGACCTAAGTCTTTAGTATTAAACTCCTTTTGTAGAAACAGCTTGAGTCGTTTTATGCCTTCAACATCACTCCCAGTAACAATGATATCATCAACATAAACAACCAGAATAACATACCCCTTCAAAGATGACATACTAAATACGGAATGATCCACATTGCATCGATGCATACCAAAACTGGTAACAGCATCACTAAAACGACCGAACCAAGCACGAGGAGACTGCTTTAGTCCATATAGAGCTTTACGCAATCGGCATACCTTCTCCCCTTGAGCGACAAACCCGGGTGGTTGCTCCATATAGACCTCTTCTTGAAGATCCCCATGAAGGAACGCATTTTTAACATCAAGCTGATGAAGAGTCCACTTAAAACGAGCAGCCAAAGAAATAATGACACGAACAGAAGGAATTTTAGCCACTGGAGAAAAAGTCTCGTCATAGTCAATGCCATAATTTTGAGTATAGCCCTTCGCAACAAGACGCGCCTTTAAGCGCTCAACAGAACCATCGGGATGATATATAACAACAAATACCCACCGACAACCTACCAATTGCTTGTCAGGAGGTAAAGAGACAAGTTCCCAAGTCTTGTTGTGTTGTAGTGCAGCCATTTCTTCCTCCATAGCACGAGCCCAACCTGGATGAGCTAAAGCTTCCTGCACACTATTGGGCACAGACACAGATGCGAGAGACGACACAAATGATGACATTTGAGGAGATAAATTATGATAAGACACAAAATGAGCAAGAGGATACCGAGATCGAGTACGGTGTGCAACAGGAGAGTCAACTGGAGGTGATGGAAGAGGATCAGAAGCCGGGGCCGGAGATAGTGGTGAGGCGTCTGCTGATGGAGAGTAATGATTCCAAGCACGGCGAGGACCACGTGTATAGACCTGTAGTGGCTGAGATGAACTTGGATTTGATGGAACAACAATAGAAGAGACATATGGTGATTCGTTGGAGATATAGGTAGGGGAACTAACAACGCAACGTTTGAGAAGGTGAGGAAGACGGTGCAGGACAAGAAACATTACCAAAAAATGTCCGATCCTCGAAGAAGGTAACATCAGCAGAGACGTACTCTTGACGAGAAGTAGGATTATAACAAACATAACCCTTTTGGGTACGAGAGTAACCAACGAAGACACATTTTTCAGCACGGGGAGATAATTTGTCTAGGCCAGGAGACAACTGATGGACAAAACAGACACAACCAAAAATACGAGGACGAATAGACCATAAAGGTTGATTAGGATGAAGAAGAGTAAAAGGAACAGCTCCCTTTAACACAGAAGATGGAAGACGATTAATAAGATGACATGCTGTACGAATAGCATAGCTCCAGTAAGATTTAGGTACATGTGTATGAAGAAGAAGACAGGGCAACATCGAGTAAATGACGATTCTTACGTTCAAGCAACTCCATTTTGTTGTGGAGTGTGAGCGCAAGAACTCTGATGTAAAATACCACGAGATTCAAGGAAAGGAAGAAAGGTGGAAGAAGAAAAATACTCACGAGCATTATCTGTACGTAAGCATTTAACAGGATATCCATACTGAGTAGTAACTTCATTGTAAAATTGACGAAAGGAGTGAAATACCTCGGTACGATCTTTTATTAAATATAACCAAGTGGTACGAGTACAATCATCAACGAAAGTGACAAAATAACGAAAACCAAATGAAGACTCTCGACTAGGACCCCAAACATCAGAATGGACTAACTCAAATGGTTGAGAAGCACGACTCAAAACACGGGGTGGAAAAGACACATGATGATGCTTTCCCAACTGACACGTTTCACAATCAAACTTAAGACTCGATCTAGACACAAAAGGAAAATGACAAAGTGTATCCGTTGACGGATGACCCAGGACGACAATGCAACCGATAAGAGTCATCCACGACCTTCTTCCGAATAGTAGCGATGCAGCAACAATCACGGGGTCTAGAAGATACAATCCACCAGCCTCACGCCCACCACCTATCCGGCGTCCAGTCTTCCGATCCTGGAGGACACATGAAGATGGAGAAAAGGTGATATTGCAATCAAGATCACGAGTAATGGAACTGACAGATAACAAACTATAAGGGAATCGAGGAATATGGTAAACAAAAGGCAAAGATATGGAGGAATTCAATGACACACAACCTGTACCAGCTACTTGAGATTTTGAACCATCTGCTAAGGTGACTGAAGTGGAAGGAGTAGAAGAAGATGAAGTAAGAAGACGCGAATCACCAGTCATATGATGAGTGGCACCTGAATCAATAATCCAAGGACTAAGTGTATCTGTAGTGGCTAAGAGACAAGTACCATCATTATGTTGTGCCAAAGTAGCAACAGGAGCTGAAGAACCACCAGGTTGTCGCGCTCTAATCAGCTCATCATATTCTGCACGAGTCAACTGCACAGTACTTTGTTCGGAAGCTGATCCAGATGAAGAAGACCGAGGCTCAATATCAATGGAAGCCTGTAAACCCCGCAACTCAGGATGGAGATCATAACAATAGTTAATAGTGTGTCCAGCCAACTGACAATGAGTACAAAAACGACCTCCACGACCTCCTCTAGCACTAGTAGTACTACCACCTCGAGGAACACCTCGACCCGGAATAGTGCGGCCACGACCATGATTAAAGTTACTTGTACTCCAATTGCCACGACCACGAACTCCTTGATTACCACGAGCCACCATAGCACTATTATCCGACATAGTTGAAGCTTTCGAATCGGGAGTGTACTGAGAGCGGCTCGAGAATATACTTCCTCTATGGAAGGAAGGGTGCCCGGAGAAGTAATCTGCTGTCTTAGGGCACTGTGATCTGGACCAAGACCTCGAAGAAAGAGGACCACCAGCATGTCTGCTTCTCTCTGCTGCATCTGAGTAACTGTTGTGGCTGGTGGAAGATGAGACCGAGTCGCCGAGACAAAGAAGTAAAACGAGCATAGTATTCTCGCCAATCCGGAAGGACCAATTTTAGCCTCAAATAATGCCTCCCACATATCACATACTCGACTCATATTATTCTCGTCAGAATAAAGTAAAGTGCATTTGGACCACACCTCACGAGCTGTCATACAATCCATAAAAAGAGGACGAATAGAATCGGTCATACTTCCCCACGCAGAGTACGCAACGCGGCGTCGGTGACCCTCCATTCTTCTAAATTAGTCTGAATCCTCGGGTGGTGGTTCATGGAGCCACCTAGATTGGCGATTAGCATAAATAAAAGTAGAAAGGGCCATTGACCAACTCGGGTAATTCGTGCCATCCAACTTTACTAATGTGGTGTGTAAACCACTCATACCAAAGGAACCAAGAGCAATAGTCGGGGTAGTCACCCCCGAACGAACATCCGGTTACCGAATCGGTAGACATATCCACCAATTAAAAAGAGAACACTCGTAATCTATCGATTGTCACCAAATCCACTAAAAAAATGTGAACACCACCAACAAGCAACTATCAATCACACTACAAGTCACCACACCAACTTCCACTACCACATCAACCAGATCTGCTCACCACATCAACCACCACTACACTTTAATTAAAAACAATGTCTTCACATCGACGTGCAAGACAGCAGAGAAACACGAGCAAAAAAAAATCCCATAACCAAGACGATCAAGTAGAGAAGCAACGAGAACATGACCAAAAATTTCTTCACATCTCGTTGCCTCTCTCTCGCGAATCACATCACCGGAAGAGGCGCTGAGTCGCGCTCTGGAGGCGCGCTGGAGGCGCGCTGAGTCGCGCGCGGGGGGGCGCGAGGTCGCGCCGAGGAGCGCGCGAGGTCGCGCTGAGGCGCGCGAGCTAAGACGCGCGAGACGTGTGGGTTCTTCGCTGGTCGTGAACAGTAGGCTAGGGCTAGGGCTTAATTTAGGATTAGGATTAGGGTTTTACTGTGGCTCTGATACCATGTAATTTGGTAAAAGAGATCTACTTTATTATTGAGATAAACCAAGTATATATAGGCTTAGGGTTAAGCCTTGATACAAAGACCTAAATACCCTTTCCTAAAATAAACCCAACTTGCTAATTATCTAATAATAAAACTAACACTTACGTTGTGTGATGACTCGAGAAGTATTGTAGTCAGGTCTTTAGTACTTCTTTTGGACATTTGAACTTGGTAATCTGTTTGATATTTGTATACATCCATAATTTTGCTAAAATTGTTTGGAGATGGATTTGTGAAGCGAATATTACTGTTTTATATTTTCCCCAGGTCCCCTTTTCGAAGACGGTGTACATAGAACAGTCAGATTTTCGGATGAAGGATTCAAAAGATTACTATGGTCTTGCTCCTGGTAAAACAGTGATGCTAAGGTATGCACCCATTAGATTGTTTCTTTTGAAGTTTCAACTTTATCAAATGTGTGCTTGATGCTCAAATCCTTTCTGCGATGGTAGATATGCATTCCCCATAAAGTGCACCAATGTTGTCTTAGCTGATGATAAGGAAACAGTTGTTGAGATTCACGCTGAGTATGATTCCTCCAAGAAAACAAAACCTAAGGTTCATATGTGTAATGTTGTTCATTTCCTGTTACTTTTAAATTGCTTTGAGAAAAATAATTATTCTTGGTACTTTGTAGTGCTGACTCTCATTCTCTCCCTCTCTTTTTTTTTTGTTTCCCTCAAAATGTATCTTAAGGGGGTGCTTCACTGGGTTGCTGAACCTTCCCATGGTGTTGACCCACTTCAGGTGGAAGTCAGATTGTTTGACAGGCTATTTTTGTCAGAGGTTGGAAATTAGTCTTGCAAATTGTGTATTCTTCTTCTTGCATTAACTGTTTTATGTGAATAATTAATAGTTGTTGGAACTTTTTGCTGAATTAGAGTCCGGCTGAGCTTGGTAAAGATTGGCTTGATGATCTCAACCCACATTCAAAAGTTGTGGTCCCTCGTGCATATGCTCTACCATCACTTCGAGAAGCTAAAGTGGGAGATAGATTTCAGTTTGAAAGGCTTGGTATGTACTGAGACTTATGAGTGGCATTGATATACAGGCATATGAACTTTTCGGCATCAGTGAAGGATGCGAATTATGCATTTGAAGCAGGGAATAGGGCTTTTCTGAGGAGATACTGTAATTATTATCGCAATCCATGCATATCATCATCTATTTCAACTATTCTTCTTAAGTTTTCTTTAGAAGTAGCACATCTTTGATGAGTGGAAACTCCTTTGATATTTTTGTTTTTGCTCATCCAAGTACATTGCTTCTGGTGATTGGCTAGGTGCTGGTAGAGCAGTTGCAAGTCTTGTCATAGGATATGTAGATATAACTAAAATGGTATATTGAACAGCTTCATGATGGATGGAGAGCGACAATTCAGCTTCCCAAGAACCAGTGTAGTTTTCCACATTTGTTCTGTCACTAAATCTCTTCCCAATCTAGCAAAGTGGGGCCACAAGTTAATTAGATTTTGTCCTTTGTGCTTTCTTCTGCTATACTAGCTTTCAGTGGCATCCTTCTTTTCTGCCATTTTGATAGGATTCTCTTTAAGTCTTTGTCTTAAATTTCTTGGGAAGGTCGTTTCCTCTTCTTTTCTGTGCTCTACATCCACACAGACAGCTGTTGCATAGATGATGCCTTGTGAAAAGTTTAATAGAGAAGCATTAGGCAACAAAAAGTCTTTGAATTGCTGTTATAATGAAGAGCGATCATGAAGTACTTATTTACGAATTCTAGTACAGAGGTTAGGTTATTCTCTAAGTTAGGTTGTTCTCTAAGAAAAGATGAAACTTCCTGTTTGTTCTTGATTAGTCTGACAGCCGCATGGCATCCATCTAAGCTTTGTTAAGGTAGTTACATTCTATTTGAATATTGTTCTGCTCATATACCTTTGGAGGATGTTCTCCTTGTTCAATAGGGCTGAAAATCCATTCATATTATTGTCTGATCATTGTTGTATTGATAATCTGCAATTGCAGGGTATTTTGTGGTTGACGAGGACTCTACTACATCTGAGAAACTTGTCTTCAACCGGACAGTTACACTGCGAGACAGCTACAGTAAAGGTGGAAAGTAGGTCGTCATGATAGGACACTAGCCATGCCATGAGATGCAACTAGAGATGCACAGGTTCTGAATACTTTGCAGATGTATAAACAGTTACATTGATTATTAACCACAGGCTATTAATCATTATCCACAGGACTACTACGTATATCTTTGAATTCATCATGACATACCTATTTTGTCATTGAAATCTGTTGTCTTCAGATGAAAGTTCTGGTGTTTGCTGCTTTGCTTGTAGCAAGCAATGCGGTCGGGGAAGTTACGTGCGATGAGTATCGTAAAAAATGGAATACTCCTTTACCTCTTTAATAAGTTAAACTGCTCTATACTTGTGGAAGAGAAAACTGTGTGCACGAGTTCTTAGGGGCGAGACCAGAAGAGAGAGTATTTGGTTCCTATTGCTTATTAAGTTTTGGGTGCATGGGTTTGAAGGAGAAATATTGCTTTCAAGTTCATCAGAAGCATTGTTCACTTGGTATAAGTTTGCATCTGGTCACCATCATCTCTACTTTTTGGTCTCCTCCACTTCTTTAATCCTTTACCTACTTCCCCAGCCACCATTTCTAGTGTTAGCTCCACTATCTCTACTCTCCTGCAGCTTCCCTTGATCGCCACTTTGACCTCCACCATTGTCGGCCATGGCTTCCTCTGAGGCATGCTAACCTTCACCACCACCTCTTCACCACCTGCTCAGCTGCGCATCACCCTTGTGAGACTGCGACCATCGCTGCTGCCCCCAAGATTGTTAATTAGCATCACCAGCACAACCTCTTCAACTCAACAGGATTAATTCCTGATTATGCCCTTCGACTGCCAGAAAGTTCAAAGAATCACTATAGCCAACTTAATATTCTGTCTTTCTCTGGACACTCAGATACCGGAAATACCTGTTTTTTTGGCCCCGTAAATCACGCCTCATTTGATCCGATTCTGATGTAATGTCCTGGAGAGTGAGGTGATTTTGTCGTGCTCATTTACTTCTTTCGTTTCATTTAACAATAAACACCCTTTATGGAGTCACTAAGGAAAGGGATAGTGCTCGGGCATGTTGAAGCTTGCAGTTGCATAGTTCACGTGAATGACTTAAATGTTGTGGATAGTAGTCTGACCATAATATCAAACAGACCAAGCTTGTTCGCATGTTTGCATCACAGGTCCTCTTAAGTGATATTACATGCACGCTACATTCTTGGTTTTCTTTATCGATGATTGATAAGTAAATCTTGCGAATAATCTTACTGCAAGCCCCTTACAAACTTGTCAACTATGGTTGCAATTCTTTGAATGACTAAGAACTTACACGAGTTTCTACTATTCAATATCAGAACAATTAGTTGATTGAGCTCAGTGTTCGTTTCCCATGGGAAACTTATGTAGATGCTAACGGACGACACATTGTTTTTGTCTTTGCATGTAATGTCACTTATAACTGTGAGTCTCACCAAACTCGACTCGGTGAGCAATTTTAAGCAAACGTTGTGAACAACAGTTTTCTGAGGTGTGCTACGGGACATTGATTGGAGAGATTACTACATTGATTCAATGGCATTACGAGACACTGTCAAGTACCCTCCGGCGGACTACGATTTTGGTTCCTGTGGTTGAGGGATAGAGTACCAGTTGTAGATGGTGGATTGATTGAAAATCATTCTGAACATTGCATCGTGTTATTATTAGTCGGAGCCAGGTTTCTCTGGCTCCCTAAATTTTAGAATTCTGCCATAGGAGAACTCGCAAATTTTAGAATTCTACCATAGAATCTAGAATGGGCGAATAGAGATAGAACTGACATGAATAGTAGGAATTAAATTGCTTTGAAGATTTAGAAGTTGAGGGAGGAGTCCAATGGAAATGAAGAGCTATGTTTTGTGCTTTCACACGCAACTAAGTTTTAGAGAATTGGAGATTCCCTCAAATTTATGAAGGTCTAAGCCATGAGAGCAAAACAAAACGGGTAATAGCTGATTGGAATGCTCCAATAAGTTCCTATTTTGTTTCATGAACATGCTTTTCCTGGACAGCAGATACCAACTCTGCTTGGGCCACATCGCCTATGTCGTAAACGCAATAGATGATTCTTCGAGGAGTCGAAAGCTGAAAGCTGTATTTACGCTTCTGCCTATTGCCGATTATATTGTCCATACATAATAATCGAATTAATGGGGAATATTGTTCATTATATGGAGGGCAATTCAGTCCTAAACTTTTTGACGATTTGTCAATATAGTCCATCTGGTCAAATACTGACAAATTTTCAAACGGTTTATGATTAAATTGACATAATTGAAAGGTTCAGAACTAAATTGACATAATGAAAGATTCAAGACTGGATGAGTTGCCATACAATAGGTTTAGAACTTTTTGGACCGTGATCCTTGAATTAATGTATTGTCCGTTTAACAAGTTTTTTTACACGAGTTTTTCTAAAAAAGAGAGGTAAAATATCCTTGAAAGGATCGAATACAATTTCTTCGAAGGAACATGTATCACATGAAAAAATATTGTTGTGACTTGCAGAGTCTCTTATATGATGACCTATGATTTGCTAAAGTTATGCAATTCACGTCCCGTGTCATCTTAACTCGTTTCACTCCCTCTTGCCAAGGGAAATGACCCTTGCGGTCATCACTTTGAACCATGTCGTTGTCGTCCAAAGCTGGCCCTAAACTCCCGTGCGTTAAAAGCATCCAATTGAAAAACACCAATAAGCTGTTTCCTAAAAAGTTAAAAGAGAGTCCAGTTTCTTCACGCTAATATCTTCGACAGACAGAGAGAAAGGGGTTTTGATTTGATTGAAAATTATGGACAAAGATGGTGATGAGAAACGTGAGCGAGACGCCTTCATGCTCCTAAGCACGAAACTCATACACAATTAGTCACGTCAGTTGGTCACATGCTCAGATATTTAGAACTTTTTCCAATGGAGCTAAATCGATCTGACTCGAGTGCACTGCACACCAACTTAAAAAGACCATCGGAATAGTGGGGTGAGCACCTTTCGGGGTTCAGGCTTACCCATCTTTTGCCATGTGCTGGTCTAGAGAGGCATCCCGAGGTCGTTCACATCAAACTTTGATTGATGTTGTTTTCCTACTGGGGCAAGCGTTGGAATCTCTGGGTTTCTCGTGGGGTTGTTGATTGCAATCATAAGACAGTGGAGTAAATACACAGGAAGCCACAGTAGTTTGATTAAGGAAAATCTTGGAACCTTGATATTTTTTTTTTGTTGGTGTAAAGGAACCTTGATATTTTATTAAGAGGCAATCTCACTAAAGAAAGGGACCTTTGGAAGGTCTCTACGGCTTGTCCCCATCTTCTGGGGTGAATTCCACGAATGAGTTATCTATTTTAACATGTCTTGCACTCTCAATTCTTCCTGAATATTTTTCTTCCCTAGGGAGAGAGAATACTCTTTGAAAGTTTTACAATCTAGTGATCCGGAAAACTGAAATGGAGCCTTTTAAGGACCTTTTTAGGTCCACATAGGAAGCTACAGTAATTTGATTAAGGAAAGATATTTCACAAATCGACGTTTCTCATCAAAGTTTAATTGGCAAAATATAGCCAGGCAATTGTAATTAACAATTTATTATATTTGAGATCCGTTGTGATCGGTCGAGGATTTAAAGTTTTCATGCCTTGTAAAAGAATGGTATTGAGATCCTCTACATTTAAAGGGGTCGATTTACTTACTAAATTACCCCCTTAATTCGATGAGTGATATAAGTTATGACAACTCAACTGAAGGTTTAGATTAACTCGTGTCACGGAAAATGCCCAGAGTTTACTCAAATGCCCTCTTGGAAATCACACAACTCAATTGAAGGGAGATGAAAAAACGAAAAAAAGCAAAGAAAAGAAGAACGAACATGCAAAAAGAAAAATGAAAATAGAAGAAGAAGCGTTGGTCTTTTTGAATATTTAAGGTGTTGGTGCGTCCTCCCCTTAAGGGGGTAAATTTATGATGTCAATTTTACCCCCCATAATATTATTCTTCAGAGATAATGGAGTCTAAGCTTGCTTATTCTTGTTCGTTCATTTGGTTTTTCCTTAAAAAAAAAAAACTTTGCCCTCTATTTGGATTGAAAGATCAAGGAGTAAATTGTACTCCGAATATGTTATTACTCAACCTCATCAAACATCATCCTTGATGGTGATTTTCTATCTTTTGAATTAATATCCAAACAATCAGATACACGATAGCTTTGGCGGATTTCAATTCTCAATACTATTAACTCAAACTCGATGGTTGAGTACGAAGCTTGTCTTTACACATAGTGATGCTGCAAAATCGGCTTGAACGATGCTAAAGCACAATCCAACAAAAGATACCCGACATTGAAAACTTACATTTTTTTTTCTATTTAATTTTACCGTATCTTCTTTGATGTTACATATCTTTCGTTATAACAAAATCAAAGATTCAATTTCGACAATGTTTTCTCGAAGAATGGAGAGAAGAGAAAGTGAGTTGTATGTAGCATAATCATTTTATGGGAAAATTATCCAAAAAGTCATAAACCTATTGCACTTTTGTCAATTCAGTCCTAAACCTTTTAATTTCGTCAATTCAGTTCTAAACATTTTCACTTCTTGCCACTTGAGTCCATCCGGCTAATTTCGGCTGGCCGGCGCTGACGTGGTTGCCGGTCGTCCGGCCAACGCTGACATGACAACTTTTTAAAATTTTTTTCGAATTTTTAAATATTTTTTTCCTTTTTTTCTTTTCGTTCTTTTATTTTTTTGCCCTTCTTCCCTCTAGCTGATCCGGCGACTGGCAATCGGCCAGAGGTGTGGGCTAGCGAGGTCGACCTTGCCGAACTCTAGCGAAGCCCGCCCCCATCGACCTCTGGCGAAGCTCGCCCTTGTTGGCCATGGGCGAGGACGAGCCTCGTCGGCCGCTGCCTAGGCGAGATTGAGGCCGACCTCGCCAATGCTGGGCGAGGTGGAACCCAGCGACGGCACTAGCCGGCCTCGCCTTGGCTAGACGAGGTTGGCCTCGATTTCGCCCAGGCAGCAGCGGGCGAGGCTCGCCCTTGCCAGCGGCGACCGGCTAGAGAGAAGAAGGGTAGAAAAAAAAGAAAAGAAAAGAAACAAATGAAAAAAATATTAAAAAATTCGAATTTTTTTTTTAAATTTGCCACGTCGGTGTTGGCCGGACGACCGGTGGCCACGTCAGCGCCGATCGGCCAAAATTGGCCGAATGGACTCGATTGGCAAGAAGTGAAAATGTTTAGAACTGAATTGGCAAAATTGAAAGGTTTAGGAACGAATTAGTAAAAGTGCAATAGGTTTATGACTTTTTGGACAATTTCCCCGTCATTTTTACCCTTTCTTTGCCGAATCATATTGGCATTCGAGTCACTCAATGAATAGTAAGAGCCATCTCTCTTGCCAAGTTTGTCCTTTTCATGCTTTTTCTTAATTTCCTTGCCAATGTGTCGTATGACATATTATTCTATGCTCCTGCAAGAACACATTTGGTGATTATTCTTGCTTGTTACGGTCGATTCTCGTACTGCGTCGCCTTGTTCTACCCTCCTTTTCTGTCTCTCTTCTGGAAGAAACTGCCTTGAGCTCTCGTTTATTCTTCTTCTTTCTTTTGGTGCTGGCCTGTTGTTGATTCTTTTGGCAACTATGGCATATGTGAATTTTCAACTGGAATAATCTACCTTTGAATTTGTGCCTCTGTCACGCCGATGGCGACTTTTCTGTTTCCTCCGAAAATCAAGCCACGAAAACGAAAAGGAAAGGAGAAAAGGAACATCTTTATGGCTATGTGTGAACATGTTATATTCATTCGCAATATCGTGCTTGGATGATCTTTGACGTCGGCTCCGAATTAGATGTGCCATGACCGACGCAAAAGCGTGAGCGGGCAAATGGTTTGAATGAGAAATTTGTTTTGCAGAACACAATCTGAGCATAAAGGATGTACGTGATTTGGCGGGTTGCCTACTCCATGGAGAGATATCGACGAGATGGTTCTACTATAATCGACAAAAATAAAATTGCAATCGCTCAATTACACTCGCTCCTAAGGGTTTCCCAGTCCCAGATCAAAAACGAGCCCACAAGGATTAATCACAAGAAAGGAATTCTCTCAAATTCTCAACTTTGATGACAACTCTAGATTCTGATTGTCCCTCGCGAATCTTTACACATATTTAGCATACTCCCTATGCACTACCCATGACGCCGTCGGCAATAGTCCAATTTAGACTTGCCTGATATGGTCCGAGTTTCCTTACGACGTAATTATGGGTCGGATTTTAAATCGATGGTGATTATCTTCGAGCCAGAATCAACAGGGTGGTTCAGATCATGTGGGTCGTTGGGCTGTAGTTTTTTGCTTGATTGTCGCCAAGACAAGTATCGCCGATTGATGGATTTTAGATTAGTCGCTTCTGATTTTGTCCAACCTGACTATTATTCGAGGCTGCAGACGTTCTTGATTACTTTGAACTTTCTCGGCTGCGCTCCGTCAATTCGTTGATTGGTGAAATCCTCTGCAAATTAAGTCAGAGTGGTTGATCTGCCCATCGCGTGGGGGAAGTGAATGACGGGCAACACGAGAGGAGCATATCTACGCAACCACACAGAGTTCAAACTTCATAACGAAGAGGGGAAACTCTTCTGGAGCTTAGCTTTGCCGGACTTCATGCGACTGATTGATGTGGACATTTCGTTTAGTGTCATCTCATTAGAAACGGTGGTTGTCAAAACTATTAGTTGCAAATTGTGGATTGGGACCCATCAATATGTCCAGTACAAGCTACCTAGATGTACTTATGATGATTGGCGGTGAAATTTTGAATTGTGGCCTGAATCTTGAGAACAAATGGCACTCGCAATAATGACGAAAACATATTGCATTGCGCCTTTGATTTGACCTACTGAATTTGAAATTTGGCCTTAAGGGATATCTGAACTAAGATCGATGATCTTTATTAGTTTCTTTACTTTTTCTAAGTTGAAAAGACTGTTGTGTATTAACGATGACGGTGGCTCCATTTGTTGTCGTTCTTGACATCTGGGGTTTTTGGGGAGTTGGGTTTAGCAGTTTATGTGTGATTTATTATTAAGTGGAGAACATCTGGTCAAGTTGAATGCATCATCCCTAATTTCAAATCATCACATATCAGAAATATATATTGTGACCCTCAAGTCACACATTGGATGAGAAAAGTATTCTTAAACAATTCATAAGTGAGACTTGCTCAAACGGTTGCCGTCTTGTACGGCTACTTGAGCATATATTGTTGAGGCTTGACTCACCATGAATTGGATAATTGGATTGGGTCGTTACCGATCGAAAGCAGTTTGGTCGGCCTGGAACGGCTCGGGTTGTTATAAACTCGGCTTTTCCCGCCACAAACTGCACAAAAATTTCAAAAAGAGACAAAACAAAAATGAGAGGATGCCATGCCAAGTTCAATTGATCTCTTTCATGACTCATGCAACATGTGCAGGCGTGGGTCTGCATTGAGTGCTCCTACCACAACATAAGATGCACACTAGATGCACACTCGGAACAACACACATGCATTGGCCTAAGCATTCTCTGTCTCCAACGTCGATGTGACTCCACCTCAGCTCAACGTGTAAAAATTGAAATTCCTCTCCATAATTTCCTCGAAAAGACATGACCTCTGATCTCATTCAGTCGGTCAGCAAATCGATAATTGAAGTTCACTTAGACCAACTTATCCAGAGAAGAATGTTGTAGGCCTGTCGACCAAACATGGACCAATCTTTCTACAATGTCAATAGTATACTTTACCTACTTTAAACTTGCAACAGTATCAAATTGCCCAAAAAACAATGGAGAATGAAGGGTAGGATATGATAGTATGTGGGGGTGGAAGGAAGTCGAATAAATTCAGGGGCAATCGTGATATACGGAGCGAAATCAGGGTCCAAAATACTCTTTTTCCTTGTCGGAATCGAAATATAAAATGTTCAGAATAAGGGAATAATTTATTTGCATAAAAGATGGTAAGACATGACACAGTGTGATATACCATAAGAATAATCATCTACCATCTTTTGGCTGATCAATGAAGAAGTTATCTACCATTTTCATACGATGCTTTGATTTAAAGTAAGTGTATTACACTAGACCCCTACGTTAGGGCACTGCTTGGATAAGTGTTAAGGTCGTGCCATAAATTTTCCCAAGATAGGAACTATAAACATCACCCGCATATAAAATCGAACCCACTTCTAGTGTGTCATAGAAGAAGCTTATGATGAATTCCTAAGTAGAAATTGTAACCCAATTGAAAAGATCCTTGTGGTGGGTCTATGCATAAACAACTAGACTATCCTCCAGCTCTGCATTAGTCTCTAAACTTCCATATGTCATCAACCGTCCAATATGCATCCGCCACGTCATCAACCGACCAGTTGCTTCCTTCCGTGTGGCCCTGTGACGGCACCGCGTTGCAAGCGCCCAGTGCTGACATGGCGGCATAGTTGATCACGTCATAGCATGTGCCATCCCCGAAGTAACTGTCATCCGCAAGTATTGGGTTGTACACAGTACTGTTACCAATGCCAACTACATCTGCCTTTGAGAATTCTTCAGAAATTTTGGGTGTCTGTCCCGTTTTTGGGAAATTCGGAGAAATATCTGCATCGGTCATCGGATAACTCGAGACTTCGATCGAAGAATTCGAGTTCTGGGTCAATTTGCTGGGTGGGGATGTGGAGGGGGGATAATTTAATGGAGACGCAGAAACAGAACAGTTCATGCTCATATCAGAAGTCCTTGTTGTTTGATCAGAGGATGAAGCTTGCTCCATTTTCTGGAGCAGCTGGGGCATCCAGAAACGGCGGACTGCGTCGAGGAACCTCTCGCTGTCGGATTCGATGTTGAGCTGGCGCGCTTGCTTCTGCACTCGGGTCCTCCAGTAGTTCTTGATCTCGTTGTCAGTCCTTCCTGGTAAATACTGCGCGATTTTCGACCACCTGCGAATCGGCCCAAAAATCAAATGACTTTGACATGTGATGAACAATGAAATTACTTGAACACTGCTATGTTGTCATTGAATTTAGAGGGACGGATACAAAGACGCATGTTACATATTATTGGTTAGGATCATAGGAACAGAGTTTCTTTTACAACCTATGTCACGAAATTACTTAGGAAAATGTCAATTGAATGTTCACCTGTTGCCCCATTTGTGGTGAAGTTCAAGGATCCGAAGCTGTTCCTGCGGGGTGAGATTCCCACGCTTGATGTCGGGTCTCAGGTAATTCAGCCACCTCAATCTGCAACTTTTGCCAGTTCTCTTCAATCCTAAAACCATGAAAAACAGATTCACCATCCTCTATACATCAAGCTTTTCATTTTTTGCAACATCTGGACATTCTAATTGCCAACGCAAATAACTGTCAAATTATCATACTCTGGTTCATCTCTTTTACCTGCGCTTTTTGCCAACATATTCCAGCGCCCCTCGCCGTGGCACGTGATCGAGTGAATGAGCAAATTGTCTTCTTCGTGAGTCCACGGCCCTCTCCGCAGGTCGCCCTCTTCTTCTCCGGACATGCTCATCCTCCTAGTCCAAGTAAAACCAGGCATACAACGGTTGGTGTAGAGCAGAGGACGGTTGTGAAGTTTCTGAGAACTCACGAGTGATGGACGAAGCGAAAGTGAGTCCAAGAATTTAATGATTCTAAACTAGAAGTAGATGACTCAGAATAGTAAAGTAAACCCTTGTTTTTTTGAGCTTTTTCCACATGTTCGTTGCCTTTATATACAAGTCATATCGAACATAATTTTTCTTTGGGGTCAGAAGATGTATTTGGCCAACAAGTTCTTACCCCCTAGGAGGCGGCAAATCTGGAAAACAATGTATAGACCCTTTATTCTTGTGCTCAGGGAGGGCAAGAATGAATATTTTCCTGTAATTTTTGGTGACGTTTTCCTTTAGAAATGCATGTAAGAAGATTTGTGGAATAATTAGTGGATTCAAGAAAATTTTTTCGATAGAGCTTTAGTTACACGTTATGATATCTTGTTATGAGTCCTTATTTTATAAGATTCATATCAATAGGCTTGAGAATTATTCTTCTGACACGTAGAGAATTCATGGAATCATACATATACTCTCTTACCTCGTTATGATTTCATAGAATCACATGCTCCATTCGGTATTTACATCGAACTTAATACGAACGGTCAGATCTGGTAAGACTCACATAACATCCATGTGGGACCATCATTATCAACGACAATTCAATTTAGTATACGTGCTACACTCGTATTACAATTTCCCCGCTTCACACTGTGGATCCGATGGATCCCATAGCATAAACGAAAGCTTTCTCCCTCTTTGGAAAGGTGGTTGATCAAACTCTTCCATGTGAAGCTTGCATATCACATGCCAACAGCAGTTCAAATCAAATTTATGCCATCATATCGCGAGCTCTCAGTTTGATTCTGATACATGTGCTCTCGATGAAGTGATGGATTCATAAACCGAAAAATCAAGGGCAGCACAGAGAGAGAGAGAGAGAGAGAGGTGGAACAGGGAACGGGACTGAGACCTTGGTGGGTCTTCTTGGTGAAAAGAACCATTGAGGGGATGGGTTCGAGCGTGTGTTTCTTCTGAGGCATGATTTATTCCATATTGCCCTTCTAGTGCTTCTAGATTCTGGGTGAGAAACGTGGTTGACTGAACAAAGATACAACTCACTCACGAAAATCAATAAATATATGAGCAAACGTGGAACTGTAGGGGCGGGCACAGTGGGGGCGGCATTAAGCTACCATCTTGGAATATTTGGAAAAGTAAAAGGAAGAGGCCAAAAGTTTCTCTCACGTAGTTTACGTCAAGCAGAGTTAGGGTTTTCTCCAGTCAAAGTATTTTCCAGCATCAAACTCGATCAGTACGTATCTGGGGATTGGGGAGTGAACGAGAAGAAACTGGCCAGGACATGCATGGAATTTTGGGATTTCCAAATTTTTTTTTCTAATTTGGAGCAGCTAAATTTGACTGTGCGAGTGCGAGTGTTGTAGGGGGGGCTCCTCTTGTCTTGACCTATCCAGACGAAGTCACGAACTTCCCCTTGTGCAGCAACAGTGCCTTGAAAACGAGAAGCCATTGGAGCATCCAATTTAAGTTGAGTTGGATGGATGGCACAAATGGTTCAAGTTTTGATTGTTTTGACTTTTCTTTTGTCGGCTTATAATTAACCAAAACTCAGCCAAGATGCTAATGTTAAGCCCAAAACGGAAGGTGCTACCATCAATTTGATTACCCAATAAGAAGCCATTGGAGCATCCAATTTAAGTTAAGTGGGGAGATTTCCTGATCGCTAGTATCTTGGTGAGGTTTGCCTCCATCATGTATGGTTAAACACCCAATAAGAATTTTCACGGAAGTTCCTCGGAGCTCTAATCTTCAAGCGCTATTGTATCGAATGGGATATGCTACTTTGATAGACGATACTCGACCTTCTTGTGACGACAAAAGGGGCGGAGTATTCGTAGGTAACTTAAAAACAGGATGCGCATGAAAATCAACTTTCTAAAACCAAACAGGTTAACTATGGGAGGATTACCAAAAAAATCGAAAACATATTGTAATTCTGCCAATCGATCCTAAACTTTTTTTTTTGGCCCATTGAATCATAAATCTTTTGCATTTGTGCCAATTCAGTCCATTTGACCAATTTTGGCCAAAAATTGCTGACATGGACGAAAAATATCCTATGTGTGGAGCCGACACTGACGAGGACAATATTTAATAATATTTTAACATTTTCTTTCTAATTTTTATATTTATTTATTTTTCTTTTTCCTTTTTTTTCCCTTATCTTTCTCTTTCTGTTTTTTTTTCCTTCCCTTCTTCCTCTGGCCAGTCGACGAGGCCCAGCATGGCTCCAAGGTCTGGTCGACCTTGCTGACCCTTGCCTCTGGCCGGTCGCCGAGGTCCGGCAACCAGCTAGAGGAAAAATGGAAGAAAAGAAAAAAAAAAGGAAAAAGAAAAATAAATAAATAGTTCGAAAAAATATTAAATTATTATTAAAAATTATCCATATCAGCGTCGGCCGCGCTGCGCCACATAGGACAGCCGGCGTCCATGTCAGTGATTTCTGGCCAAAATTCCAAATGAATTGAATCGGCACAAATGCAAAAATTTTAGGACTTAATTTGCAAAAAAAAAGGTTTATGACTGATTTGGCACAATTACAATAGATTTAGAATTTTTTTTGGTTTTTTTTCCCGATTAACTATAGTCCAAGCCATGTATAATTGCACGAGCTCATAATCGACTAAGGTCGCTGCAAATAATAAAGTCGGATCAACCAAACACGAGGCTGCCGACACAGTTTCCGACACGGACGAGATCCGAACTCATCCAAAAGCCCCACGAGGTGTCGTGTTGCGCCCCACGCGTGCGATCTGGTACGATGTGAAGACTCGCCCCATCTTCAAGGGAATGGTGGGGGGCTCGATTCACTGTACGCGCGGACCTCAAATGGAAGGGCAGGTGCATTGCGCAGTGGCCAATAATTGTCGCTCGTGGTGATTGGGGTGTGACACATTTCAAACTCGCTCCCCAAGTTTTCGAAACTGAGGTAGGTGACGGGTTTGTCCTTTATCCCAATTTGTGCAGTCGGAGAAGATGGCTTGTCATGTGAAAGCAAGGCCAAGAAGAGACCCCGTTCCTTTGTGCAATAATAATTCGTGATAGAAGTAGTGCTGTGCGTGTGCGTGTGCGTGTGGATAACATGCGACATATGTAACGCGTGCGGTCGCGCGTGTGGGGTAGGGAAGGTACGGTGGAGACGACGAGGATTTGCTCAGTGAATGGCCAGTGAAAAGTCACCGGCCGGTCGGGGCCCCTCTCGTTCTGGGCGCCTCCCTGTTGATCCGTCGCCCGTGTTTGTTTGACACGTGTTCGTAAAATTCTGCACGTCTCAATGAACGTGCTGTACAAGTAATATAAATATGAGAAAAGTATCGTCCCACAGAAATTGATCATTAATCAATCAATTAAATATTAAAAATATATTAATTCTAAAAATTATCTAACATATCAAAATAGAATTGAGAATAAATAGAAATTGACAATTTTAAAAGCGAAATTTTAGAAACTAAAGGCAAATAATCAATCAGATAAAATATGTTAGAGTATCCACTACAAAAAAACTGATTTTTTCCGACGAAATTTCCAACGAAAAATTCTGGAAAATTCGTTGGAAAACGAATTTCCAACGAATTTTCCAACGAAAAAAAATTCGTTGGTAATAGGTCGTTGGAAAATTTTCCGACGAAAAATTTTAATTTTCGTTGGAAATTTGCGACGAAAATATTTTCGTTGGAAATTTCGTTGGAAAACTCGTGACTAAATTCGTTGGAAACGAATTTTTTTTTCCGACGAATTTTTTTCGTTGGAAATTACAAATTTTTTTTTGATCGAAAAATCGTGGAAAGTTTTTTTCCATCAAATTTTTTTTTTGGTCGAAAAATTTCAATTTCAAAAATTTTTTTTTTGGCCGAAAAATGGCCCTCGCCGGCGGCGAGGGCCGAGCTCGCCCAGATCTGGGCGAGCTCGAGCTCGTCGCCGGCGAGGGCCGAGCTCGCCCAGATCTGGGCGAGCTCGAGCTCGTCGCCGGCGAGGGCCGAGCTCGCCCAGATCTGGGCGAGCTCGAGCTCGCCGGCCATGGCGAGCTCGGCCCTCGCCATGGCCGGCGAGGCCCGCGGACCGGCGAGCGGCGGTTCCAAGCAGCTCACGCGGCCGAGAAAGGAAGAGAGAGATCAGGTCGGTTGGACGGTGGCGGTGAGGCGGGATGGGTGGCGGCCTCGCCGGCCATGGCGAGGGCCGAGCTCGCCATGGCCGGCGAGCTCGAGCTCGCCCAGATCTGGGTGAGCTCGGCCCTCGCTGGCGACGAGCTCGAGCTCGCCCAGATCTGGGCGAACTCGGCCCTCGCCGGCGACGAGGCGTCGGGGGCGGCCCATGGTGGCGTCGGGAGCGCCGACCGCCGCGGGGGCCTGGCCCTGGATGGCCGCAGCGACGCCTTCGGGGACGGAGCCGACGTCGCGGATGACCTGGATGCCGATCTTGGTGTCCATGGCACCGGAGCCGAGTCGGAGGAGGAGGGGGGGTGGCGGGGGAGGCAGCGGGGAGAAGGTGGAAGGCGAAGGAGAGACCGAGAGAGAGAGAGGAGGAAACAGGGAGCGAGTCAAGCGTCGAATGGACTCAGCCGAGTTGAGGGAGAGAGGGACTCGGAGAAGGGAGGCTTGGGGGGAAGGAGATGAAGGAGACGGCCATGGCGGAGCAGAGGGAGCGAGCGAGAGAGAGACACTAAAATAATTGCCCGGAAAATTAAAATTCGTTGGAAATTTCCAACGAATTTTCCAACGAAAATTGTATAAACTGAAATAATTGCTCGGAAAATTGAAATTCGTTGGAAAATTCGTTGGAAATTTCCAACGAATTTTAAAAATGCCGAACGGTACCGGTTTTTTTGTAATTCGTTGGAAAATTCGTTGGAAATTTCCAACAAATTTTTTTTCGTTGGAAATTTCCAACGAATTTTCCAACGAAAATTGTATACAATGAAATAATTGCCCAAAAATTGAAATTCGTTGGAAAATTCGTTGGAAATTTCCAACGAATTTTCCAACGAAAATTGCACAAACTGAAATAATTGCCAGGAAAATTGAAATTCGTTGGAAAATTCGTTGGAATTTTCCAACAAATTTTCCAATGAATATAAAAAATGCCGAACAGTACCGGGTTTTTTGTGCTGTAGGAAAAATCGGGTCAAGGCCAAGAAGAGACCCCGTTCCTTGTGCAATGATAATTCGTGATAGAAGTAGTGCTGCGCGTGTGCGTGTGTGGATAACATGCGACATATGTAACGCGTGCGGTCGTGCGCGTGTGGGGTAGGGAAGGTACGGTGGAGACGACGAGGATTTGCTCAGTGAATGGCGAGGGAAAAGCCACCGGCCGGTCGGGGCCCCCTCTCGTTCTGGGCGCCTCCCTGTTGATCCGTCGTCCGTGTTTGACACGTGTTCGTAAAATTCTGCACGTCTCAATGAACGTGCTGTACAAGTAATATAAAGATGAGAAAAGTATCGTCCCACAGAAATTGATGATTAATCAATTAATCTAATATTAAAAATATATTAATTCTAAAAATTATCTAACATATCAAAATAGAATTGAGAATAAATAGAAATTGACAATTTTAAAAGCGAAATTTTAGAAACTAAAGGCAAATAATCAATCAGATAAAATATGTTAGAGTATCCGATTTCAGCATAACCACTAAATATGAATTTCAGATTATTATGCATACAAGGAAAATATTAAATATGTGATAGAGGAATTTCCTAGTCTATTTACTATCCTATCTCTAGGTATAGCAAACCTATTCAGTTATCAATTCACTAAATTTCTATGTGAATTTAAATAAACATAAGTGCATTAAAATCTGTGAATATTCCCGGTTTACAATGAATCTTTTGGATCATCTTATCACCGAAAGCTATGTAAATTTAATTCATGGTTATATATTATAAGGAGCAATTGCATATTATCACTTCTCGATCTCAAATATGCACATCAGATCATTCAAGTGATAGCCAGTCACTTAAAGGCATCAAGCACAATAATATATAACTCACATGAATGAAATCACTTGCAAAACATAAAAAAGCATGAAATTCATATCATCATAATTAGGCTACATCGTAGCTTTAACAAAGAAAGTTAGAACATAATAGAAGAAGAAACGAAAATATAAATTAAACCAAACATCTTGAATCAAAAAACAAGAATTCTGTCACTACTTTTATCTTCTCTTCAAAATACTTGAAAAACTCTCAGAACAATAAAAAGAACGATCTAAAGAAAACTAGCTGTCCGTCCAAGTTATCCTATTTATATGGTAACATCCAAGACTCCTCTTATAAGACAATTGCTTCTTTTTCGCATAAATCGCAGAATTCCCAATGTGATATCCATCATCTAACTCTTTTCTGGGTAGTATATTCATTTCCTTCTTTTTGCGATATTTTCTTTATTTTCTCCATTTCTTTATTTTCTCCATGTCTCATTACGCTGCATAAAGAAAGAAACTTTGAGTAAATAGAAGGGAATCCAAATATTTTCTCACAAATATTACGTTATTTATTGCTTAAAATAGGTAAAATAACTCTACTTCAAAGCAAAATAGATCCCGCATATTTCTCTTTATTGGTACCGACTGATTGTACTAGATGTTTAGGCTCGAATACTCTTCTACGAAATATTGCTTTTTTCTCCCTTTCATATCTGCTCTCGACTAATGATAGCCCCAAGTTTGATAGGTGACCCAGTGAATCAGTGATGCACGAACCTCGTAGTTTATGTCTATCTAGACCATCAGTTCGTGACTTAAAAGTTTTGACTCGGAATTTGATTTTGAATTTTCTATGATATGGACATACACGGAGGTTGACTGCTATTTTGTTTTGTTCGTCGAAGTAATTGCTGCTTGGATTGGACTCTTTTAATTTGGGATGTAAGTTCATGTGTTTCTTGGTCCATGATGTAGTTGTATGTGTTTGACAGTGAAAATTGTTCAAAAAGTTCTAAACCTATTGTAAAGCTGCAATTCAATTCTAAAATTTTTAATTGTGTCTATTTAGTCCTAAATCTTTTGAGGATTTGTCAATATAGTCCTTCCAACCAATTTTGATCGAAAATCGTTGACGTGGACGCTAGCCGTCTTAGTGGCGCGACCGACATTGACGTAGGCAATTTTTGTATTTTTTTAAATTTATTTTATTTTACTATCTTTTCCTTTTCCCATGTAGCCGGCTGAGGCTTACTTACACTTAACATCAAAACTCGAACTAAATAAACAAACATCAACCAATCAAATCAAGAGTACTAAGTAGATCAATCTAACTTAGCCTCTAGAATTTCACTTATCTTGAATGAAAGGTTAATTACTTCAAAGCAAAATAACCAGAGATTGAAAATAACAACTCCCAATCTTTTTGATATTAAGAAGACGAAGTCCAACGATTCACCTTGTAAACACTTGAAATATGGAATTAGAAGCTTCAGTAATACAAAAGTGGGACCTTCGCTTTTGCTCAAAAGGTTAGAAGGTAAAAATCGAAGAAGAACGTGACGTGAGACTTCCTTTCTTTCTTGCGAGAACAAGCTGGAATCCTTTTTAAAGCTCAAAACTTGTAGTGATCTTATGCGATCAAGAAAAGGGAATTCTACTAGGAAGACTATACAAGAGTCACAAAGGGATAATAACGATTAACTAAGGTGAAAATAATGATGACATTGAGTTAAAAACACTAAGTGGAGAATGAATAGAGAGGTGTTCAAATTAGAATGGGACAGATGACTTAACTATACAGCTCCAAAGTAGATATTATGATAAATTACTAAGATATCTTGCATTTCAGTACATAAATAAGGGAACCAATGTCCGTTTTAAACACTGATATTACGGAAAAATATCTTGAACCCACTAAAATGTTAAGCGAAAAGTATCGGACAATATGGGAATTATAACTCAGTAAGTTTCTAACTTGAAAATTATTAGATACACAATTTAAAGCACATCAATCCCCGACAACAATTACAGCGGCGATATGTTTTTCGCCGCCAGCCTAGATACTCAACCTACACGAAACCTATCAATTAAATTTTTAACAGAATTGCATTCAAGAAGCCACAGACACAAAAATACCTTTCGGATTTCCCTCACACTACAAAGTTAATAATTCAACTGAAATTTCTACTGATGGCATTTACCATATTTATATCCTACATATTATTAATTGATGTAGGAATTTCCATATGTTACAGTCGTGTTTGTCGGTAGTAGGCGAGTATTGCCTAAGTGACGGCGGCCCTCACCTGTGGTCGGCAGCTGCAGGCCAAGGGAAAAATGAAAAAAAAAGGAAAATATAAAGAAAAGAAAAAAGGTAAAAAAAGAAAAAAATTACAGAAATTTTCTATATCAATGCTGGTCGTGCCACATAGGTTGGTTGCTATCCACGTCAGCAATTTTCAACTAAAATTGGCTGGAAAGATTACATTGGCAAATCGTCAAAAGTTTAGGACTAAATTGATAAATCGTTGAAATGTTTAGAACTAAATTAACACAATTGAAAGGTTTATGACTAAGTTGGCCAAAATATTTAGGACTAAATTTGCATAATTGAAATATTTAGGACTTAATTGACCGCCGTACAATAAATTTATGACTTTTTGGACAAATACCCGGTGTTTGATGTGTCCTTTTGAAATAAGAGAAAGTACTAGTGCACTTGATTTTAGTGCCACCGAGTGAGTTTAATTAACCTTATAGATACATGCAATTTGATCTATCCATCCGAATAGTGAATCATCTTAAAGCTAAATTAAGATCTGTTTAATATTTCGAGACAATTACCAAAGAAGGTCTAAAGCTATTGTACGTCAGCGTCGGCCGTGTCACATAAGACGGTCGATGTCTACATTAGTAATTTTCCTCAAAAATTGATTGAAAGGATTACATTGACAAATTGTTAAGTTGTTTAGGATTAAATTGGCCAAATTGAAAAGTTTAGGATTAAATCGGCATATATCAATAGGTTTGTGACTTTTTTTGATGATTTTTTTCTAAAATTTCTAATGCCATAATTAGATTGTGCATTGTAGATAAAGGGTCGACAAATGGTTAGGTGTGATTGGTGGTGGTAGAATAATTGACCGCATTGGAGGAGCCAACTTCTTGAGCCCGAGAAACTATTACTTTCTCTATCAACTACAATATTCCCGATAAAGAGTCAATTACCACATTCCAACTATTTGAAAAATCGATCACTATGTGTCGAGCATCATGAATTCTCTTATTTTCTGTTAAAAAAAAAGAAGACAATTATATTACACGCACGAATATTGGCACGGATGGACGGGAATGTCGCGCATCAAGAGCTCCTAAATCTGAGTGGGCTCATTGCTATTCGATGAACACGTGAGGTGGGGTGTTAAATAGCACGTCAATGAGTAGGACACTCCAAAGCGGCACTTCTCGAGTTCACCTGAAAGTTTTCCCCAAACACCAATTGAAATATTCGGGAATAATGGTACAAATGATCCCTAAACCTTTAATTTATTCAATGTGATACCTGAACTTTAGCTAATCGTGCAATGTAATCCCTGAATTTTTAATTTGTTCAATATAGTTTCAAAAATTTTGGCATGAAAATATTCAATGTTATCTCTGAACTTGAATTAATAAAAGGATAATATTGAACATTTTCATATAGTTCAAGAATTATTTTTTTTTGGTCGAAAATGACTAAATTGAATATGTAACAAAAAATTTAGGGATCATTGCATATTAGGTTAAAGTTCAGGATTCACATTGAACAAATTAAAAGTTCATGGATCACACTGCATATTGGATCAAAGATCATGGATCATTTATGTCATTTTCCCAAATAGTTACCGAGGGTTTGGGCTGGTCAAGAAGGCAAGTTAATCCGACCTGCCGTCGGCCAGCAGCCCAGTCGGGCCTGACTTGTGGCCCATTGGATACTGGGCCTATACCTGGTTGAGGCCTGGCCCAAGTCCAATCCAAATTGCTCAATTCCTTCCAAGTCGTCCTCGTCAAATTAGAGCCTGCGTGCATCTGGTGCGCCTCTCGTTACATTAGAACCGTGCGATTTTGGTCCGCCTAGAAATCTTTGTTGCATGGATCGTATCGACATCGCCCTTTGAAAAGGGCGATTTGCTTCGGACACATCCATCATTCCTCGTCCGCGGTTCCCGTCTTTTTGCAACTTGCCGAATCGGTCGGGCCGGCCGCCACTTGTCGAAGATGTTGCTGCAAGCTCTCGCCTCGGCTTCGCCCGCGCACGCGACCCTCCATCTGCCCCGTGCCGCCGCTGCCTCGCTCCCTCTTCGTCGCCCTCCGCCGGCTTTCCCGGTCTCCCGACCGGCGCCGGCGCCCCTCCTCCGGCCGCTGTCCGCCGCGAGGGGCCGGTGCGCGCCGTCGGCATTTCTTGATCTCAAAGGTGGCACAGGGTACTCGCCCACTTTTTGTCGAACGCATTTTTCTGGGGCATTGCGATGATGATATCTTGCTTGCGTTAATTGGGTTTGCGAGAATTTTCCTTTTCCGTGCTTGCATTGATCTACTGTAGTGGCTTAGCTAACTTTGCTTGAAGCTATTGATTCGAGGGCGGATAGAGATTAGAAAGAGTTACCTGTAAAATCTGAGCAAGAGAATTACCTGCAAAAAACGAAGGAGAAAGATTAGAGAGACTGATCAAGTGGTGGTGATGACTGATGAGGTTCGCAATTCTTTTCGTTTTCGCAGAATGAGTGGGTTCATTGATGTAGAGCTCAAGGTCCGTGACTATGAATTGGATCAGTATGGTGTGGTGAACAATGCAGTCTACGCGAGCTACTGTCAACATGGTGAGCCTTGTAGTTTCTAAGTTCTGCGTGATTTTTCTTTATAGCATATGCCTTGTTGATGACATTTTTATAAAGCAAAGGCCTTTCCCGCATCCGGTCCTGCACCCTTGTGTGGTCGAGATTCTTTTTAAGGAAGGTTTGAATAGGAGGAGATAAGTTTAGTCTCCTACTCATGTCACCTCATTCGAGTAGCATCTGGCAAAGGCTAGTAAGAGCAACGTAACTACAGAGTTGGTTCTCTTCAAATAGTCATAATAAGAATAACTTACAGGAATAATGTTGAAATTCGTGGTTGTGGCCTAATTCGTGGTTTGCAAGAGAATCTAGGGACAAAGGTTAGAGCTTTTCATGAAAAGGGAATAAAATGGCTTGGAAGATATTGGTCTGGTTAGATTGCAATCTTCTCAAATCTCCATAGCGTTAGTTTGTCAGCTGTGCTGCTATACCTTTTGTGATCTGGCGGTTCCATCCTTTTTTCTGGGGATTCATATGTCAAAACCAGGAAACATTTGTATGCAATGTCCCACATAGAGCTTTGGGAGTGGTCTTGACTTTCTGGTGATTGAAAGGAGAACTCCAGTCCAATTAATAATATTCTGCTGGGGTTAATAATAGCCGAAATCTCATACTTCCGCAAATTGTTTCCTACTTCTCTTTCTAATTGAGCTTCTTTCCTTGGATCGGAATATGCTAATCATAAGACAATAATGACTTGTCTCAAAAGGCATTGTTTTGGCACCCTGCTTTGTGGTTGGAAACTGAGAGGTGAAGGTTCTCCTTCTGATGATTTTTCATTTTGTGCAGCTTGAATATTTTCTTTTATTCGACTAGATTAACAAGTCTGCGCATGATTCAACAACAGAACTAACTGTTTTGGTTTTAAATCAGGTCGACACGAGCTTCTGGAAATGATTGGAGTAAGTGCTGATGCTGTGGCCAGAACTGGTAATGCACTGGCATTATCAGAGTTGTCACTCAAATTTCTTGCTCCTCTAAGAGTATGTTTTTCATTTGTAATTTATTGCAAAGATACTTCAAGATAAATTTAATGATTTTTGGTTGTGAATTGTGGTATGCCTTGCCTTGCTTTCTTTGGGGTCCTCTTCACCTTTAAATTGATTTATGCAGAATTTACACAATTTTGATCCAAATCAGAGCTGGTTTTGCCCTACAAAATGTTCAATAATTCCTTATGTTGGCCCAAAACTATTGTAGAAATACATTTAGCACCTATATAGAGTTCAATTTAGTGGCAACAATGACAATTCAATAGAAAGATCGAGATATTTAAGGTCCTTCAGAGTTTGTCCTTGTCTTCTTTTCCCTCTTGCCTTTCATTTCATTTCACTCTTTCTTTTTTCTGAGAAAAAAATTTAAAATATTAAAGAGCACATACCGGGTGCCTCCTCTCTTGGCTAGCATTTCTAGCGTATTCATTTAAAAGTAGAAGTATTCTCTTTCAATGTGACAATAGCTAGTATTCCTTTTTGGTAAGGGCTAATGAGAAAAGAGAGGGAAATCCTAGGAGATTTCTAAGGAGCAGATGAGGGAATATAGTCCCTGAGTGGGCACAATCGCATAGAAGAATCTATACATGTACACTGAGTGAATGTAAAAAGGATTGGTGATTGGTGATGCTGTTAGGGAGACAGATGAACCTACATATGCTGTCTGATGGCAGTAAGGAACTCAAATGCTCCAGGTCCCTCCTATGCAAATAGACACAACAGAACGTTTTGCAAAAGCATTGTCTTTAACACTATATATGACTAAACGAATATATGCAGAAGTGCTTGCTTGTGATTGTAATGTCATTCAATATTCATTGACTAGTTGTTTTATTATCCATTCTTGTGCGACCAGAGTGGGGACAGGTTTGTTGTAAAGGTGAGGATCTCTAACTCATCGGCCGCTCGCTTATACTTTGATCACTTCATTTTCAGGCTGCCAAACAACGAGGTCTGTTTATCAACTACATCTTGCTATATCATACTAGATCTTGTCTTGGCGCTGAGATATTTTTGTTACATGTTTGACAGCCTATTTTGGAAGCAAAGGCTACGGCTGTTTGGCTTGACAAGAACTATCGTCCTATCCGTATACCACCAGAAATTAGATCTAAGTTTGTCCAATTCGTTCGTCATGCGGAGGCCAACTGATGTGCAGAAGAAGTGGCGATGGAGTACTTGGTTAGAGACCCCTCCCTTTTGCTGAGACCCCTCGTTTGAGCTCAAAATATGAAGACAGACAGGGAAAGGGAAAGAAAAATGCTACTGAAATTACTTTTAGGATAGACATCCACGAGGAAGAATTTTTGCACATGTCAATTCAGCTCTTTCCTTCCACACGAGCAGCTCATAGAGTTCAATTATGTTCGGAGCATACGATGTAGTCCTTCAATCTAAACTCCTGTAGTTGGGCATCTGTGGGAATCAACCAATTAATTGCGAAATACGTCTCTGTAACTGTAAAAAGTATCTTTGCATCAAATGACACATGAGGGAATACCTAACTAGTTGCTATGTACCGCTTGCAGATGTTACTGATTAATATACACGGAAACTATCCTGGCACATGCATCTATACCTCTCTACAATGGTGTCTTGTCCAAACACAAGCTCTAACACGATGATAACTTTTCTGTGCTGTACACTGAGGCAGGATGATAACTTTTCTGTGCTGTGCACTGAGGCAGTTAGCACCTTTAGAAGAAATTTTTGTGCTTGCTCAATTCAAGATTCACTAAATGAGAGACTCCAGAGGAAGAAACCTTCTTTTGTCTGAGTTCAAAGACTCAGTCGTTCAAAGTGTGTACGTGGATCTGTTTCATAGGTATTTGACAAGAGGAAAGGAGATAGTGTTTTTTTGTGTACTCATGCATGCTTGTGGCTACAAGTGCCTAGAAAGATCTAGAGAGCAGTTCCACTTCTTCCACAACAGGTAATATCAGGTCAAGTGGTCGTGCATATTGAATATTACAGTTGGCCTGTAAGCGTGACACAGTTTGTCATGTTCTATCAGAGCATATTGGTAACCCCAGAAAAAGGGGAATGATTCATATTTACAACGTTATCCTACACGGTTTGAATTGAGTCCATCTCGGGCTTCTTTTCCCGGGGAAAGACTTGACTGCATACTAGCGAATTTGGAGTTCAAATGTGTGAGCTTCAGTTTCTATTGACTGGGAAGTCAAAAAGTTTTTCTTTTGCAATGCATACATCGACTGTCATTGATTCGAAAGCCTAACATTCCTCGAGTTGGTCTCGCTAACTTTCCAATAAGTGAAATCACGGCAAATTGCAAATTTGTATCACTTTTATTATGCAGTTGCTCTCTTTAGTTACTCTTGGTGCTGAAGAAGCTGCTTAGCAAATATTGTTTCTTCTCAGCTTCTTTTTCTCCGAATAGATCTGCCAGAATGTCGGGGTTGTTAGTGGTTACTTAGTAACCATTTCTAATGAATGTGAAGTTCGATTCATATCTGTAGGTCCGCAATGATATGGAGAGAATACTGTGTATGTTCATGAGCATCTTCATGCAGGCATTAGCATAGTCAGAAATCGTGTCGACAATATGCAGCGACTACAATATCCACCCGAAGTTATTTCCTCTCCCTTTCAGATCACAGGAAGGGTCCATAAACTCGCTCCAAGCTGATTAAACCATTTGAGAACTTGCAAATTTTCTGCAGTTGGGTATCGAAGCCTACCGGAAAGTTGGTGCTAAAGGGCTATCCTGGATATCGTCGATTGTTGAACGCGTTTGTCTTTTGTGGCTAGTAACGTGATGACTCTACATGAATCAGATACAGAAAATAGAAGTAAGTATTTCTCGTGGGTGTCACTCCGTGTGGAACTGATTGCATTCAGCAGTAATGAGCACATGGATATGCGTATAGTGACTCCACCTGATGCACGAAGCGTGTGAGAATAGAGAAACTTCTAGGTACTCTTTAAAGCATAAAGTGACGCCTTTCTTCGTTTGAATTCAATCATCATATGCAGAGTAGCGTGAAACTTACAATGTCCTTCCCAAACGACAACACATGGGATACCAGTTAGCGAAGTGACTAAAAACCTCTCGTGACAACATATTTTTTGCCGAGAAATCTTAGGGTCCGCTTGTTTGAAAGAAACTGTTTTCGGAAAATTGATTTCCGCCTTACCAGTATTTGGGGAAAACTAATCGATCCATAGGAAAGGTTTTCCATGGACTAAAAACGACAAGCTTAGATATGGGGAAAACAACTCTCCCTTTTGGCATGAAAAAAATTGCTTTCCCTAAATTACTGAACAAATGAAAACTAATTATTTTTTTTAAAAATGATTTTCATGAAAAATATATTCGTTTATCACGAAGTTTTCAGTAAAACAAGCGCACCCTTGATGTAGGTTTCACGGTCGCTATCTGTGAAAGTACGCTGAGAATCCATACAGGTTTTACACCCTTGAGTTCAAGAAGCAATGAAAGATTGACGGTGCAAAGTGTGTATTTGTTTAATGAAAAAATTTGGGTGCTAAACTGGGGTTGTAATGCATAGCACAAGTTTTGAAATTAGTGTAATTGAAGATGATTTCTACAAATTTTCCTTTCTAAATGCAATTAACTTTCAGGTTAGTGAGAAACGAGTCTTGGAGAGTAATGCCCAGATGTAATTAACTGCAGACTGCCGTGCCGTGTGCGCACACGGTATACTCTCGAGTCTGGAGGGTTCCCTCTCTTCAACTCACCTAACCGGTTCCCCCCCACCAACTAACTTTGGAATGACCCGCCAAAAATTACATGCGCGCTTTGACTGGTAGTTGAGGTAGAATGGCTTCGACACATCAACACACTGTCGTGAAACAACGTTGTTTTTCTGCCACTAGGGTTCTGATTGGTTATCTCCATCCTGGTCTACACAATCCATGGTGGTTCAGGAACCACCTGATCACCTTGGACTGGAGTCTGGATTTCACTGGGAAGAGTAGGTGATGCAAAACCTTGCAAGGATAAGGATCATGACCCCGAAGCAGTTGGTTCTACCATAACTAGCGTTGATCCAACGGGGAGGGGACAGAAAGGATCTTGACGAGAGGAGAGCGTCCATCATTCTGAGAGTGTGAGAGAAATGGAAGAGGGAGGGACGAAGAAGAAGATCATGGTGGCGATTGACGAGAGCGAGTGCAGCCACCTTGCTCTGCAATGGGCTCTTGATAACTTGGGCCACACCATCGCCGGCTCCGAGCTCATCGTCTTCTCGGTCCAGCCTTCATCTGACTACGGCACCGTTTATGCTGCTTCTTATGGAGCTGCCCGTAAGACTCTCTCTCTCAAATCTGTACCTTGATCACTGAGTTCGAGTGGATCATAAAAAACTGCCCGCTGAGCTTATGAAAGCTGTTAATTCCTCGCGACTGTGGTGGATTGTTGTTATGTTGAGATTATCTTTTGATCATCCCGGTCGGTTAAGAATTTCTTACATCAATTCGCCTTGGTTGGGTTGGCTCCTTTATTATCTTTATCTTATTTTATGCTAGAATTGTTGGGGCTCACTTGCTGAATCTCTCCCTTTCTTTGCTCCATTTTGTAGCGCAGCTGGTTAAATTTCACTTGCTTAATCTAGTATAAACCATCTGGATTCTGCGTGCTCCTTTTCATCTTCTAACTTAATCTTTCTTTATCTGGGGAAATGCTTATGGTTCTGGATAATTCATTCTACCGTGCAGCTCCAGACTTGATTAGAATCCTACAAGAAAATCGCAAGAAGCTTACTTCAGCCCTACTAGAAAAGGCCAAGGAAATCTGCTCTCAGCATGGGGTAAGTAAGAGGACCACAGTTTGATTCGAAATATTTTGTAAAAATCATACTGCGAATCCACATCCATGTTTTTGTTTAACACATTAACAGCGCCGAGTGTGACATGGGACAAGAAATCATAACAGATGAAGTAATCAGGAGTCATAAATACTATGGTCTAGGTAACAGAAGACTTCACTGAAAACACTTATTGTCTGGTACACAGGACGATTCATTTTACTTTGAACACTTGTACACAATGCGCTGAGCGTTCCTATGCTTGCACCAACTCCTAATATATCAACTCCACACTTCGGCATTTCCTAAAGTAAACCCAGGTCGTAAGTCAAAAGTTGGAAGGTAGAGAAGGCAGAGGACTTGTGAGATAATGTTGCTGCTTCTAAAAAGGGATGCACAGGAGTTGCTAGTTGTCATTAATGGTGCAAGTCCGTGTAGAAGGAAGCTTGCTTATTCCTTCAGCGGGCAAAATCTCCATAACTAGGAAATCTAAGCATCAACTCGTTCTCTCTCTCTCAATCACATTTGAATCTTAGCATTGAATCGTGTTAACACTTCTTATATGGGTGGACTTTCATGCTCCTCCTTGTCGCTTACTCTCTTCTTCTAGTTATCATTCATCAACATTTCTTTTCAAGATTCATCGCGCGAAGCAAAGTCCACAAGTGATATTGGCAATTTATTCATCTTTGTGATGGCATCAATGTCCACGGACTAGGAAATACTGGGTTCTGGGCTGAACAAGTCATCAATTGATTATCATTAGCAATTGTATAATGTTACTATGGGTATGTTTGGTAAAAGCTCTTGGACAATTGCACTAGTCAAATACGTATCCATCCTAACTAAAGGCATTAACCGAAGCCTAGAGAGAACTTCATTTCCTGTCTCTAGCTGGTTCGGCTGAAAGGCATCTCTGTTCCCTCGAAGTGTTCCCCTAATGCGTCTGACATGTGCTCTCCTGCAATTGAAGGTTGCTCAGTGAATTTGATCTATTTGATCTATATAAAAAAGTGCTGCAGGAGAGGACATAATAGAAGAATAAAGGAAATGGAAGGAAGTGAACTGTTATACAAATAGCAAAGTAGGTGACAAATGAGTTATCTCCAGGAGACAGCCAGAACAAGCATAAGTTGGGAGTGGTATGTCCAGCTTGTGAAGTACTTGTAGTCTTACAAGAATAGCAGCTTCTTACAATAAAATTCTATAATTTAAAGAGGCCCAAGAGATGAAAGTTAAAGCTACCAAAGCACTTTATGTATTGGCTAAATAGCAAGCCAAGGATGAGGAGCTACAACATTAAAAGATAAAAGAGAGAGCCGACCATGAATCTGACAATAACCTGGCCATCTTACAGATCCCAGAGATTCAACAATGAAGCCTTTTCCATCTTTCGACTTTCCTATTTACAGCCTGATTACATCAACTTCACTGATCAATGTCTGTCTACATAAAAAACAGCTTGTCCATCTCAACTGCGGAACAGTTGAAGAGGAATAGATTGACAGCTTTCTCTTTTTAGTCCAATCCATCGTCATTTGTTGAGATGGATCATTGTCGATTAGTGCAGTTGTTGAAGGATTTGCACCACTAAGTTGACCAAGTTCATTGCTGTTGCACAGTGATAAAACCTACTGATGATCTGCTCAGCTGACAGCTTAGTCCTTCACTAGTATAGCGAAGCATGTTGAACTTGATATGCACTATCGCTTCATCCATTAGAGAATCCTCCGCGGATAAATAGATGAAATACAACAGACGAGCAAATTGCTAGTAGGGTATCGAATTGAAGTTTCGAGTTTGTGAATTTTGAGAGTCAAAGGATATGATAAATGGGAAGATAGTAGGTGTTGAGGGGGAGTGCAAAAGTCAACACCTAAGATGCTCGTTGACATCATCCATTGCCTAAGTAGATATGCATGTACAATTTGTCTGAGCAGAGAAAAAGCAAACGTTCCTTCTAAAGTGAATGATGGTCAATGGATTACTAATTTCATGGTGGTGAGTTTGCGATTATGATTTGTTCTATCAAGATTAGTCATTAGCTCCTCATCAGATGATTGAGCTGTCCATTTTGGAAGAACATGGAAGTTTAATTTGTGGAGCAAGATGACCAGTTCACTTTCATGAAAGCAGCATTTTGTTTCAGACATATTATCCAAGATCAGGAATCCAAAGCTCCCGCCTTCAATAACAATTTGGATACTTTAATTCTGTGAATTTTCTTCTGTATATGGTTCATGGAACTATACTAATTCCAGTAACTGTCTAATTTGATGGAATGCATTTTAAAATAGGTCAATGCAGAGACGATGACAGCAGTTGGGGATCCTAAACAGGAAATCTGCACGGCAGTTGATGAACTCAACATCCAGTTTATTGTGTTGGGCAGCCATAGTCGTGGAGCAATAAAAAGGTTGGTCACTTTCTCTGTCTTATAGGGCTGAGCTCAAGTTAGTTTGAACTGCCAAGTGCCGAAGCGCGCAGAACTTAGTTTTCCAGTTTCGTTTGGCCGGGAGTGTGCTTTCTTATTTTCCATTAACAAAATGAACTGACCTGTGTCATGGCAGTTCGGTTCGGTCTGAACTTTTCTCTGACAATACTGAACAGCAGAACCAAACTGAAATTTTCCTCTCCTTTCTTTTTTTTCCTTTTTCACTTTTCTTGGATATGGAGGTAGTTGTCAAAGAGGTTCTAAAGTGATTGAATCAATTGAAATTCAATAGGCAATCCCAGGACACGTTTTTTGGTTGCAAAAATTCGTAGTTCTAGCCTTTTGCCTACAACTATTACTAATTTTCACCGATTCTTTAGTCTGTGTAGCACTGGTTTGATGTTTACTGTTTAGTTAGGCCACCTTTTAATATGCTAATATTTTGAAAAAGAAAATGATTAATAAAGAAAAGAGAGAAATCCAATTCAGTTTGGAACTGAACTGGACTAGCCCATTCAATATAATTAAGCTTGGTTCCAGACCCTTTAATTAAGTTTGGTTTGTAATTTTCTAAGTCTAGATGGTCCTTCAGTTTGGCCACGAAAGCCCAAACCTACTAGGACTGAACCTATTCTGATAACTTTCTTTGTGATGACATGGCGCCATGATATGTCTATAGAAACTAGGTCACACGTATTGTCCATTGTAACCGTGTCTTTTACCATTGATGATGCTCAGTTACTATTGTTCTCTGTCAACTTCATTCTGCATAATTTAACCTGCGGATGACTAACATGTTTAGACTTGGTTTGCTACTCAAATTGTAGATAGCATAATATTAGTCACCTTACTATTAGGATGCTTAAAGCTATGTCTATATCTCGTGTTTCACATGTAAAAGTGATATGCTTGAGAATTATTCTGGACCCTGTCGAATTCTTTCACTTGTTTCCGTTTTCTGGGCTCATCTGTGAGACCATCTCCCGTATGCTTCTCAATGCCACTTCACTGTCACAGGGCGTTTCTAGGTAGCGTCAGCAATTATTGTGTTCATAATGCAAAGTGCCCTGTCCTTGTGGTGAAGAAACCAGCTTGACCTATCAGCATCAGCCATTTCCTATCTGAAGTTGAAAGTCAAGAAGTTCAGCAGAAGCTAGTACTATAGTTGCAAGCATCACCAATTCGTGTCATTGATGGGGGGATGGAATTTGTCGTTGCTGAGGTTGTTGAAACAGTTCAATAAACCTCTAGTGCTGTTTCATTACTTCATCACAGTGTCAAATATCGATGTCTTCCAATGTGATATATGTTTAAGGCGTGTAATATACTTGCTGATCAGCCCTCAAACCTTCACGCTTTGTGCATTCTCCAATCTTGTACATACAATATTATTCTAGCTCTTACACTGGCGACTCTTGGTATCGCAAGTAGATGTTTAATGACGGTGCTTCATATAAAGTTTCATTAATCAATCTCATCACTCATTAGTCTTTAATGTCACACCTCGAATCCTATCAGAATGGCGGAGTGACACGGCCATTCTTTCACCCAAAAGACGCGACTTCAAACCATATCCAAAGTCCCCATCGATGTTGCTCACTCTATTGGCCACTAACTGAAGAACCTGATTAGATTAGGAAGGAATGGAATGAGTAAGTATAGTTCGGTGGCTAGTACATTTCTTCTAAGCAAATGGAGTAGCTACTATGCATATATATAAATATAGAGCAATATCAGAAACTTATAATTCAACTCTTTAATATACATATCAATTCATATATGAGTTATTTTATTTCAACAAACTTTATATAATTCAGAAATACTAATTTAAATCATCATCTCATTTCGAACATCAATGACAATCTCAACCAAATCACACATTAATAGTTCATTCTATCGACTAAGCTCAAATCACATCTCAACGGTTCATTCCATCAACTAATCTCAAATTACACATTAATGGTCCATCCATTGACCAAATCCATGCACAAATTTTTAACCATGATCACGCATAACGTCTTGTGATAAGGCGACCAAGCTCCACCCCTTGGCAAGGTTTCCACCTATATTACTAGTAGCTAGCCCACAAGGATATCATAATATTAGTATGCAGACCCAGAAACCCCTCTGTTGCGGAAGCCAAACGATCGAACAATAAATTTGACAGAATAAGAAAATAAATCGAACACCAGATTTATGTGGTTCGGTCGTAGTGACCTACGTCCACAGGGAGAGCAGCACAGAATTCCACTATAAATCAAACGATACAACGGAGATTACAACCACACTCGAGTCACTCAAACACTCTCGGTGTTTTCTAAGCCCCAATTACACCCAATAGCTCACGCAGTGTTTAGCCCCATAATTCCTCACGAAATAATCTCTCAATCTCGCGAAGGAATTATACACAAATCTTACCACAAGATTTAATCGCTACGATCACTTGAACTCTTGGTGTAATTCCACGAACAAAACCACGAAGATTGCCCACCGCCAAGCACTCGGCACGCTAGCGGCGCTTCAAGAATAACTTCACGTATTCATCAACAACTGCGTGCCAATCTTGCGGCAAAAGAACAGCCCTTATATAGCCCAAAGAAAAATTAAAGTGGCCGACTTCAACGTGGAAGAGATATTACACAAAATTCAGTCAACAAGTCCAAGTTTGGACTTTCCTATTTCGTCTTTCTTCTGCAGACTTCAAGTGGGATTATATTCCCTTTCTTGACACAAGTCCACGATTTGCTTTCTTTCATAGTCAAAGTCCAACATCCTTTGGACTCCAAATTGGAAATAAAATCGCCTGCAACTAGGGGTGAGCACGGTTCCAGGGTAGAACCAGGAATCGAAAAACCGAACCGGTGGGTCCGGTTCGGTTCCCGGTTCTAGGGTGAGAGGTTCTGGTTCCCGGTTTCAATGTTTTAGGAACCGTCAATTCCGGTTCCGGTTCTCGGAACCGGAACCGGCTCAGTCCCTTACTAAAAAGTAAAAACCCTAACTTCCTTAGTTTATTCCCAAATTTCCCCACACTCAGTCACTCCTCCATTGCGCTCTCTCTCCCACTCCCAACACCCACTACTCGACGAAACCGTCTCGCCTCTCCTCGCTCCATTCGGCGTCCACCTCGGCTCTTCCTCTGTCTTCATCAACCGCGGTCTGGCTCGTTCGCGGTCTCTGCTTTTTCTAGGGTTTCCGATTCTGGCTAGAGGGCGCAAGAAGGGAGCGAGCAAGGACAAGAGTAAGCGTCAGTTGAGTTTGGGCGATCTCGTTCTTGCCAAAGTCAAGGGCGACCCTGCTTGGCCTGCCAAGGTTCACGCTTTTTGCTCTGTATTCCCTTTGATTGTTGCGTGTTTTTATCATTTTTGTTTGGGTGTTCAAGCGCAAGTTTTTACTTTCTGTCTTCTTCTTTTTTTGCCTTCTCGCGGTTGGAAAATGGTTTAGTTTGATTTAATTTATGTTGTGAAGTGAATAGGTGGTCGGCCGTTACATTTGGGGAGGCTGGTCTTTTTGGATTTTCTTACTTGCTTGCATTGTGTACTGTTTCTGCCCAACACTTTGGGAGTGAACCTTTCTGGATTTAATCAGTGTGATGCGGTGCGCATCTTTTGTATGATGGTTGCTCCGTGAATGATGATTTTTTTTATGTCTTCAGATTAGCAGGCCAGAGGATTGGCACCAAACTCCTGATCCAAAAAAGCACTTCGTGCTCTTTGGAACACAAGAGATGTAAGCTCACGATCTGCTTGTACCACTTGTTTATTTATGTATGAGTAGTTAGCTTAATGGCTTTATTGAGTTTTGTGTATAGTTTCATTCCTTTCATGCAGTAACTACAGTATCGTGTTCATGAGCGGCTCTCTATCTTTGTTTTTTTGGATAAACCTTAAGGTTATTAGACAGGCGAGTTCATCCACAAGAAGAAAAAGAAAAGAAAAAATCCTATTAGTTTGTCTTCAACATTTAGTCAAAAGGTTCAGCCCGGGCTTCAAGACTGGCTTGAAGCCAGCCTTAGTTTCATCTTTGTGCTATTTCTTCTATGTAGCACACATGCTTTCCAATTTTTAAGTGATTGGCACTCCCTTGCACTTGTTGCTTGTGTTTATGGATTTTTTCAGCCCTGCTTTCCTAGTGTGCGGGATTCCTGTAAGCTTGTCACCGGCTATCTTAGTTGGATGTTTGGTAGGACTGCCCAACATCACCTACATCTTTAGAAAGAGATGTTGCAGCTTTTGGAAGCTGGAGAGCAAATGCATCACAGTGCAACACTTTCATAGCTGTATGACCTCAAAGATACCAAATAGCGTCCGAGTATCGGATGGAAGTATGTCCTATGTAGTTGTTAACATGGTCTATCTGTTGTTCCAAGTTATTGACCTTTGTAGTAAAACTGAAAGTCGTGGACTTTTTCCCCCTTGATGAGAGAAAATAAAAGTTCGATGTTTGCTTCTTGAGAGAAGCTACATGGTCTGTTTGGTGTAATAAAATAGCCATGCTGAAATTCTTTGTGATGTAGTTGTGTTGTGATGAATTGGTTGGCTGGAGCAACTTCCTAGAAATAGCTTTAAGGTGCTGCCTTTGCATGTCAGTGGAGCTTTGAGATATTTGCCAAAGATGTTGTAAAAGCTGAAAAACCTTGGTTGTAAAAGCAGATGTCGCGACCTCCCTAAACCGGCCCCGCCGCCTAAGGGGTTAGGCTAATGGATTACTAAGTTAAACCTAGCTCGAGCTCTCCCAAGCTCATACCAATTCGCGACTTAAGTTAAAGTTATTAACATGGAAATCAATTTCACCTAGGAGTCGCCACTAATCAGTTTTTGGTGGGTCGATTAGACACCCAAGCAAAGCAGGGGAGAAATGCTTTACTTCTACGAACCAGAGATTCAATGGGTACGGGGACTTGATTACACTAATTGACCAACTAGTGCCCTTTCGGTACCTAATCTTGCTCAATTCACCACCTAACGTGTTCACACTAACTGGGAGTTTAAAAAATTCATTCCTAACCAAGCTAAGGGAAGCAACAATCACTACATGAACCTAACATGCATAATCAACCACAAGCGAGTTTAAATTAAACATGCAATTCAAAGCGTGCGAATCAAGCGAGGAGCAATCAAACATACGCTAATCACACAAAAAGGGAGAGAAAAGCAATTCTGAAGCCCAATTTCCAATTTTTGGATTTTCGAAATTTTTCTATTTTTTTTTTTAATTTTCGTTTTTTATTTAAAAAAATAATAATTCCCTAAATCGGCCTATGCTCGGTTTACGTGAACATGAAACAACTCAGAATATGAATATTACGAGAACCGGGCTCAAATCAACCGTTTCAAGATCGAAACTTGGTTTGGGCATTTCGTCGAGCATTTGGTGTGCATTAAAATGCCCCAAATGGCTTCCTCGAGCCATATTCGTGGCCTTCAATCTTACTCCGTGTGTAATATCAAGTGGAACCAAAGTATCAAGGTTATATTATCACATGCAAAGAACAATATTAGCTAGAAATCACAACCTAAAACGCACGAGAACCAAGTTGGAATCGGCCTCCAATATGTGGGTTCGGGCTGCTTTTGCAAATTTGGGTTTAAACCCAGGTCAAGCAAACCTGTTGCATGCCCAGGTTTAAGCCCCGACACTCATCACGTGCAAGATCTATGGGAAACATCACTTCATCTGAGAGAATATACGTAACATCTACTTTTAAATGAAACAAACATCATGGAGAATGATCAAGCGAACACGTCGAAACAACCCCCCCAAGAAGCATACATGCATGGTTCATAATGACTAGCCATGAATCAATGTGGGTTAGCTTGGCTTTTGACTCAAGTTGCAAGCGATCTCATGGTTCACACGGGGCTTCAAAGACCAAACCAAGTGGATCTCAGCCTAATTTGTACACCCATATAACATTCATCAAGCTCACGAAGGTAGAAAACGCATGCAAAGAGGAGTAGCAAGTCAAACATTTAGGGCTCATGAAGGAGCTCTAACACTTACAAAAATTCCAGCCTCAGAAATCAGTTCTCTGGGCTGGTTTTCTCTTGATTTTTTCATAACTAAAACATATTCAAAATTGAACAAAAATACATGTAGGATACTCACCTTGCTTCCTAGTTTCTCTTTGAAGTATCCCTTGGCCGAGGGAACCAAAAACCTGTCTTCCAAGGGCGCGGGGAACTAGGCTTCTTCAAACTGGAAAATGAGATCTGCAAAGAAGGAACTGACAACGAAGGTTTTTGTTGGTCTCCAAAACCAGAATCAACGACCTCCTTTTCTGACTAATTTGACACTAACCCAAACTAGATGTATTTTAGTTTAATTTTAAAGTCACAGGTATCCTCATATATTCCTCATGTCTCTCAAAAAATCCCACTTTCCCTCACCAGTAACCGTCTGACTTCAACACTTAGAAGATTTCTGGGTTTCTCTCTTGACCCGAGAATGGGCTGCTTTTCGAAGGGATTTTGGGTGGCTTCCCGACATCCATTTGGGGCGTGCGACCTATGGTTGGAAATATCTTTGAATGTAGTTCCACTCTCTAGTTGAAGGTTTTGGCTAATTTTGGCTCGAAGTTCACGAAAATCTCACTTTCCTTTCCAAAAGTCAGTCTGGAACTTTTCTGGGTTTGTTTTTTTTGAGTTGCGTCTGAGGGTGAGTTTTTGGAACGACCGTGAACCCCCTTCCTCTTGTCTCATCCCTTTATTTTTATCCCCCAAAAGAACGTGCTTCAGAGATCCTATCCATCAAATCCAACCCGATTTTTAGCCCGTGATTGCCCACTTACCAAGCCTGCAAACTGAGTCTCTTCACCAACTTTCTGACTCCAAAATCATCATAATTTGCAGCTGTTGAGTGAGCAGGTTTGACTGAGATTATCACGTGTCTTCAGTAGCTTATCCCTGGCAAATTTTTGTCCATTTGCACTCCTAATGATGGTCTCACACCTCGGCCAGAGTTCACGCTGATCGGCTGGCTGAGTAGGATATGGTGGGGCCACAAATTTGGCTACTCAGCAGCCTCGAATTGAGACCAAATCGTGGACCGGTTTTTGGAAGCTAATTTAAGTGCTTTAATCCATTCATTTGGTCGGAATTTTTGATCAGTTTGAAAGTTGAAGTATATTAGTTTAAGATGATAATCAGAATTTGCAATTTTCGATGCCCAAGTTTGCAGGAAAGTCCCTCAAAATTAGCCACTTTCTTGTCCGAGAATGCCCGATTTGAGCCAATTTAGTCCTTTTGGCTTGATCTGATCAATTTTACCTTGCCCGTTTTCAATTTCAAGCTTGATTAGGGGTAAAAATGATGATTTAAGGGCTTGGGGGCAAATTTTACAAATTTTGCGATTTGGTCCCCCAACTTTTGGAAATTGTATTTTGGCCCCAACTTGCTGGTTCATTTGCAATTTGATCCCTCTGGTCTCGGTTAGCTACACTCGAATCCTTGGCCCTTGCTCTTCCGTTTTTTTTTTTTTTTTATAGAATAATTCCAAAATATTTTTGTGGAAAAACAAGCTCCAATTTTTTTTTGAAAATGATTTTTGGGCAAAAAATTTAGGTGTCAACAGCAGACACTAGCACAGACAGAAGAATGGAAGGGCAATTTGTTGATTAGAATCTCTTCCTTCTAGCACTTTGCCTTATGTCATGCTTTTGATCTTTTCTTTTTAAAGTATATCTGTATTGTCCCATAGGAAGTATCTTTTGATGAACCATAGAAAAAGCAGGTTGTTGCCTTAGTCATTAGTACGAGCTTTTGATTTGAGGAGTGAAGTCACCCATTAGATCACTATCTTTTGTTTTGATTTAGAAAAAAGCAGGTCCTCTTTCCATTTTACTCTTTTGTTTTGATTTAGGCACTATCTTCTTGACTTGATGAGAGTAACTCCTCGTGTTGCAAACTATACTGGACCTGGATCTCGATTTTGTATTTTGAGACAGGAACTAGTCACAGCTTTTTGCCAGGTAGCTCATGCTATTACTGTAGTTAAGTGGTTCAGCCATCTTCATGATTTCCTACTTAAAATTTTTCTATTGAGAAGGCCCAGGCTGCAGAAAGATCGAAACATAGTTTAAGCTCTGATACTATCCGTGACTCACCAACTGATTCTTTAAGAGTTGCCAGAGATAACGGGCTTGGGAATGCTGATGCTGGTGTTGGAGGATTTTCCGACAGTAAGGTAGTTACCTTATCTTTCCCCTTCAATTGGTATTGGGCAATTATAGTTTAGTTCTATCCAGGCATTTGTAAACTTGGCATTATATCCCCTGAATATCACATCAGGGCATTGTGTATGTATCATTCAGATGATCTACTATTGCGTTTATTTTCGTTTTGTTTAATTCAAAACGAAATTAAAAAAAAGAACCTGTTGGAACCTGGAACCGACCCTGGAACCTGTGACAGGGTAGGTTCCAGGTTCCACGTTCCGACGGGTAGGTTCCAGGTTCCTCATTTTGAGGAACCTGTACCCGAGGGTAGGTTCCAGGTTCCAGGCGGAACCTACCCGGAACTTGGAACCGCTCACCCCTACCTGCAACTAGGAAACGAAAATTGCCATATACCGCATGCACATAGGAAATCCAAACTTTGAAATATTGAGACCTCCACAAATAAAAATTAATCTCGGGTTGGATTTCGTTTATCGGGCTCAAACTCGAGACATATTTTCAACATCCTCAATGGGTTTACAACGATATTGAGCACCAACACAAACTCACAACAACATTCTTCACAAGTCATAAGCCAATTCGAAATCAATATCACAAAACAGTTTTACAAACCATTTCATATAATCTTTCTCATAAACCAGAATACTTTCACAAACCAAATATATAACTTCTGGCAACTCAACTCATTCGCTAGAATAATTTTTGTAAAGTATTTCTCAAATCATTTCATAACTCATTTAGTAAACTAGAGGGAAAATATCACCAAAAATCTCAAACCATGCCACTTGTGACAAATTTACCTTAAAATTTTTTTTGTGATACGAAAAACCCTAAATTATGCCACTTGTGACATATTTGCCCTACAATACTTTAGCCCCTAGGCATTTTCGTCCTTTTCGTTTTTCTATTTTTTTTCCTTTTTTTTTCTTTTCTTCTCTCTTCCCTCCGCTGGTGTTGGCGTCGGGCGAGGGAGACCCTCGCCGGCGTCGGGCGAGGGCTGCCCTCACCGGCTTCCCTCCGCCATGGCCGGCGGAGGGAAGAGAGAAGAAAGGAAAAAAAACAAAAAAATGAAAAAAACGAAAATGCCCATGGGCCAAAGTCTTGTGGGGTAAATGTGTCACAAGTGGCATAGTTTAGGATTTTTTGTGTCACAAAAAAAAGTTCAAGGTAAATTTGTCACAAGTGGCATAATTTGAGATTTTTGGTGGTATTTTCCCTAAACTAGATTCATAAAGCAATATATATATAAATTTTCACAGTACCTTTCGCAATACGGTTCTAAAACTATTCATAAATAACCAAAGAGTAATAAATGCTCGATCCATATTTTTCTAATAAAAATGCCATTTCGTAACTCGTAACATATCTAATCCATATCGCATTCGAAATATAAATTTACAAACTCAAAGAAGAGATAGCATCACTCATCTGGGAATGTCTAAAAAACTAAACAAGGAAGCTCACTCGAACTGACTTAAAAAACAAGTAAAACACTATCCTGACTACAAAACGACTCTTACGCGACAAAAAATTGCTCACTCAAAGCGATTATTCAAATCTAAGTGTAACATGAAACTCACACGCGAAACCCTAAAATTCTCAATCCAACCAAACCGTTGCTCTAAACCAATATCAAGTCAAACCCTATGGCTCCACAATGCAATAATTTACAATTTCCATGAAATCTCATAGCTCAATAATTCAAAAATCGGACTTTGCGATTCAAATTAAGCATTAATTCGAAAAATTTTCCGATTGGACGAACGAAGAGTGCAAACACATACCGAACATTGTGAATCAGGGTTGAATCAACTTGGCAAAGTCCCTGTAACGTGTACGCACAAAATCCCTTTTTTTTCCTTTCTTTTTCTTTCTTTCATCTTCTTTTTGTTGACACCTAAATTTTAACTAGTCATTTAGGAGCAATTACATGGAAAATTAGGGATTAATTTTTTAACCCCTAAACAAAAAATATAATTAGATGGCATAGCATATAGTTTTTTGGAGCATTTATCATATAGCTTAATTGCATTTTGTATGTTAATTTGACTGGCGTCAGATGGATCTAATTGGATGGATAGAATATTTTAAGATTATTGAACTAGTGCGGGTGGAGTTTTGAGCACAATTAGTTTGTTTGGGTCTATGAAATAGAATTAATTGAATCACACCCATGGGCGAAAAATATGTTGTGCTCAATTGAGAAATTAATGTTACCAAAATTTTGGTCAATTAGCAAAATATTTCGAAATGGGCATGATCTTTCGAACACTTGAGGCGGCGATCCTCTTGGTTAAGGGGAAGGAAAGAAATAAAAGGAAAGGGGAGGAGGATCAGTAGATTTGGTTTCTTTTGTATCTCCGTGCAAAGGGGAAACAATATAAAGAATACAAAAGAGGAAAGTGGAATTTGGTCAATAAAGGGGCATATATTCTGATCAATACCAAGGTGGTCTTCATGCATCCATTGGCGTGAACCGAAAGAAAAGGACACAATAATGGGAAGGAGCTAGAATATAATATATTCTAAAATACTCATAAGAGGAAATTAGACTTAGGGTGTATTTGGCAACCATTCTATTCCCGAAAATAGTTTTTGTTTAGAAATTATTCTTTTTTATTTCGTACCCGTGAACAATTTCTAAGTATTTGAAAGTATTTAGTAACTGCGCAAAATTTCTATTATTGAAATAGAAAAAGAATAGAAATGCGTTTGGTAACGGCACGAAATTTCTTTTTATTAATAATATTTTGAATTTTTTAATATTTCTTTATTTTTATTTTTATTTTTATTTTCTTCTTCTTCTCCTTCCTTGGCCATGGCCAGGTTGCTGGCGTCGGCCACAGGCTAGGGCCGGCGAGGGTGGCTCGCAACTTGGGCGAGTGCCGCCCTTGCCAGCCCCAGCCGGCGGTCAACGACCGGCCACAGGCCAGGAAGAAGAAGAAGAAGAAAAAAAAATTTCTTTTCCATTTCTGATTCTTGTTTCTAGAATCAAGAAGCAACTCTTTTTTGCTTTTTTATTCTGTTCCAAAACTGATTCTGAGAACAAATTTTTGTAAATTTGTGCCCAGGAACAAAATTTTATCAAATGAATTTTGTTTCAAAATTGATTCTAAGAATAAAGTAATAGAAATAGTTACTGTTTGGCCGGTTGCCAAACGTGCCCTTACTCTCTTTCCTTGAAAGCCCAGGTCTTCCCTAAAAGGGTCACGTATAGATAAGAACGGGAGAGCTTTTCTTTTGGTCTGACCACATGCGAGAAACACAGAAAGAAGAGACAAGAGAGGAGAGAGAAGATTTATCTTCTTCCTCGGGCGTGTGCCTCCACTATCACGACCGAGGGCTCCACGACCAGACGTTGTTTCTTGCTGTTCTCGGACCTCCTCGTGGCTATTCTCCACTCATCGCTGCGTCACCTAAGTAAGTTGGCGGCAGTCCGTGAAAAAGTTGCTGCTGTTGTGCCCACCTCCGACAACGATGATGACGAGGAGCCGCTACGACCTCTAGCCCTCGGCGTCCCTGCTGTTTGTGCTGAACCAACGAGTCACATTGTCGAAGCTCTCTGTCCCGTGATGACCGCTACGACCTGCTTCCTGTCTTGGCCCCGGTGACGTTGCTCCTATTTTGTTTCGACGAGGACCCGCCGTCCACGAGCTGTTTCGCCCTCACTTGATGCTGTCCTTGCCGCGAGCCCAACCGAGACTGAACTTCTACGTTTGGCTGGATCTTCTCTGATTTTGCAGGTTCACCCCAAGGCTGGCCTATTGTTGACGGAGTCAAGATATTACGTCCAAGCAACGTCCAATTTGTTGATACCCTTGCCGAATTACTCATCATTGTTACTGTTTGCCTGTTCACCATGAGCCCCTTTGCTGCTAGCCACTTGCTTTGTCACCAGCACGATCCACGAACCACCGTCCGTCGGTCTAAACTTGGATAGCAAATATTCGAATTAGGTAAAAATCTCATATAATTTACTTTTCGAGTATAATGTTTCCTTGTTTGAAATATTACAATCTTATTTGAATCTTTGAATGATATTATTGTGTCCACTAAGTTCCCGAATAGCCTTTAAATTAGGAATTATTACCTAATTCTACAACGTGCATATGATCGACGGTCCAATTTCATGCTCGAAATATGACTCGCGATCGCACGGAAAATCGTTAATCCGATCTCCCGCTCGAGATATGATTTGTGATTGTGTGAAAGATTGGCCAATCCGATCCTCATGCCCGAGACATGATTCGTCAATTTATTGTTTCTAAATTTAAATGGATATGGATAATATTTCTTGTGATTGGGTGTTGTGTTCATTTCATTGCTATTTCTTTCCGTCTTTTGTTTGAATTGAATTGATTGTCTTTCCATAAAAAAATACAAAAAGGTTAGGTAAAATTTGAGTAGATAATATATTGCATGTTTAAGATAAATTTTGATTATTTTCTTAGAATAGATTAGATTCTTTTCTTAGATATTATTATTACAAGTTTAAATTAGGTTAATTGCTTATTCCGAATTTAAACTAAAAAATATAAAAAATACCACGTGCATGTCATATTAGAGTAGTTGCATACTAATTAATTCTTGTCATTAGACATCTCACATCTAAGTTCATTTGCATGCCATATTAGAGATAGTGCATTTAATTATTGTTAGAATTAGGACATCTAGGTAAATCATATGTCGCATGTCATGTTAGACTAGTAGCATGCATTGCATATAGTTTAATTTTCACTAAATAAGAGAAAACTCCAAAAATACATTGAATGGAATTGCGTGTTAATTAGAAACCATATTAAGGTTGTCAATGTGATTTTCTAACTAACATTGCAGATACTTTCGTTGCTTTGAGGTAAGTCCCTATCTTACAATTTATTTATTGCTTTGCGCTATTGAGTGTTATATTATTGGTTGCGCAATGCAAGTTGCCTGCATAATTTTTTTTTCTTAAAAGAGAAAAAATACCGAAAGGGCGTTAGAGTAATATAGCGTAATCAAATCCCTAAATCCATAATCTATGGTTCGTAGAAGTAAAATAAATCTCCAAGTACTTTACTTAGGTTTCTAATCTACCCAAAAAAAATAAATTAGTGGAGACTTCAAAATGAAAGATCTTGCATATTAAATAACTTGAATCTAAGTTGCGAATTGATATGTGCTTGAATGAGCCGAGTTAAGTCTGGGCTTAATAATTCATTAGCCGAACGCCTGGGTGGCGAACCCGAGGGAAGGTCGCAACACTTTTCTCTTTCTTTTCCCTGTTCGACCTCCTCTGTTCCTTTTACAATGGGCCGAACGTCCATTTTTCCTTTTTCCTTTTTTTTTCTTGTGGGCCCCGCCCTTGTCAAAGTTAAAATATTACAACTAGGTGAACCACAAGTTTCTGTAGATTTTACTTTTATTAACCCGGGACCCTTTCATTCTTTTCAGCTCTGTGACGTTGAAGATGCTAGACAGACCCTCTTTTTCCGCATGGTAAAGTACCCACCTTTTGCTGGTCCCCAGGAATTATCAGGACATGACTTTCCTTGGCGAGGTGAGCCAACAACAGTGAAAAAAGAAGCTTTCTTATGACCTGAGAGAATTGATTTTTGCTCGATCCGCGGAGCACCGAAAGTAGTAGAGCACAGCTGCTTAACGGACGACCTCAGACATCCAGAAAAACGTCACATCATATGCCAGATCCGAAATTAATAAGAACACCGTCCATCTTCTAGCTTTAGTCATCTGTTGAAATTCGATGGCTGGGAAAAATCGCATTGCGTTCGCAGGCAAGAAAGCGCGGATGCTTTTGGATCATGATTTATCAGCGGTTTGGCTTAATCACTTTCATGGGGTCCAATTTCTTTGCCATGTACCCTAATACTTTCCTTTAGTGGAGTGAGAGAGACTATTTGAACGATGCAACATTTAGTAAATAATTTGAGCAGCTATCCTATCAGTTGATTTTTATGGAAAAACTATTACTTGGTGCATGTAAAGCTCAGTTTACGTAAGCGCTTAGATTTGTAGGTCTCATATGGAACTCACATGATCCTATAACTCACATGTAGTGAGCTCATTTGTATCGGATGTGTGGAAGAATAGCTCGGATTTTACATGTTGCTCTGAATGATTCAATGATAGGTCCTTTGAGTGGCAATTACTTTGAAAGCTTTCCTTTCTTTTTTTGGTCGGAAAAAGCTTTTCATTACTATGTTTGTTGTTACAGAATTTTGCGAGAAAAGTTTTAGTACGAGTATGGAATGAATAGCTCCGCGCAGACTTCTAACGGATAGGAGTTTCATTAGCTCCTTTGGTGGTCAAAGACTTGTGTTTCACAAATACGGTCGATCTTACGACACACGGCACGAAAATATTTGCAATTTTCTACGATAAATTAGCTAAACATCGAATGAGTGAATGTGTGAGTTAAATCACAAGCTAATCTTGTGGATACTTAGAAACATAAGTGATGAGTGTATCGAAAATCTTAAAACTTTCCATAAAAGTGCAATCAAGCTCTAAAACTTTCAAAAAGTGTAATTAAGTTCTAAAACTTGTCACGAAAATGCAATTGAGTCCTAAAACTTGTCAAATTGGTCAAATCAAGTTCTTTCGTTGATTACGTTTTTTGAAATTTTTATGATTCGATTGCACTTTCATGATATGATTTAGGACTTGATTGCTTTTTTTGGAAGATTTAGGACTCGATTGCACTTTCTTGACAAGTTTTAGGATTTGACTGCACTTTTTAAGAGTTTTAAGACTCAATTGCATTTTCATGACAAATTTTAAGATTTGTAATGTATTTATCTAAAAAATTATTGTGTTTAGAGCTCGAAAGAGAAAATCAAACAGTATATGACGTGGGACTATCCTATGTTGATGTTCGATTACATAGACAATGAAGTCAAGTTCCCAATAAAAAGGCACCAACGCATTTCATAGTTCGACCAAGAAAAAAGGACACATTTCATAGTGCCCATGATTTGACACATTTGAATTACTCCAGCAGCCTCGGAAAGATTTTGAGGAACCAAAAAGGCCACCTTGCAATCAGCCTATGGACCACTTGTCTCAATGGGACTTGCTCCTTTCTCTTTTGTGTCTTGTACCTTTTCAACTATAATATGAACTTTCTGACCAAAAAAAAAACTGTAATAAGACCTTCATTCGCTATTTTGCAAGATGCATCATATGATATAAAGTCAACATCTTTATTTGATTCAGCATGCAAACAAATGGCCCACGTTGCTTATTATTTCACATGTGATCGACCTCTCACACCCTTAGGTTTGGTGGAGTTGATTGCTTCAGCATTCAGGTGACAGCTTAACCAGAGGTCCCGGAATTGGAATTTAGGTTCTTAATTATTCTTTTAAACGAGGCAATAAAGTTTGCCTCCTATGGGGCCCTTCCCTTCTTTTAAGAAGTCTTGTGCATATTGACGACGGATGCAATTTTGAACATCAGAAGTGAGTTTCAAAGATCAACGCCGTGGCTTTTGAGGTAAAGAACTTGTAGAGAAATGGAAGGAGGAGGGAAAGGGGAGAGCAAGAAGGTGATGGTGGTCATAGATGAGAGCGATTCCAGTTACTATGCCCTCATGTGGGTGCTCAACAATCTCAAGGAATTGATCACTAGTTCTTCGCTGCTTCTTTTCGCCACGCTGCCACCTCCGAGCTGTAACTTTGCGTTCGGAGCTCCGTTCGGTTTGGCTCGCCTATATTTTCAAGGCTTAGCAGGTCAAGTACCAACTTTGGTTGCTTCATTTCCTCTTTGTCCAGTGTTCGTTTTTCAGATATATTCCTGTTCAAGTAGTTTTCATTGTTCTGTTGAGAGATTGTGTATGGCTGGAGGCTATTGGTGGTTCTCAATCACTTTGCCTTAAAAAATTGAGGTTCTTGCCTTGTGTTCCTGAAGTTGATAACTATTGTTTAATCTGATGAAGATCTTTTGGAACGTAGGACAGCCCTGGAGGTTTTTAGCACGGCACAAGAACAAAGTAAGAAGATTTGCTTGGGAATCTTGAAGAAAGCCGAGGGCATCTGTGCGAGTCGAGGGGTACTGTAAGAGGATACTTCTCTTCACCATCTTCATTCTTCTTAATCTTTTCTAATCATGGTTTTATGGTCAATATTTAGACAATCTCAAGAGATGGCATGTTCATTGTTATCGCTTAATAAAGGTATGGCGCAAAAAAAAGGAGAAAAATTACTGTTGATCAATATTTTCCTACAAATTTTATTTGAGGAAACCTCCGCCTCTAACCTTTCAAAAGCATATAGCGCAAGGGCCTCAGCCTGGTAAAATATGGGAAATCACCACTTTTCTTATCAAACTTCAAATCCTGGCGTTATCAGCGAAACCTATCAGTCTTATTGCATCGCGGATTTGAAACGGGCTAGAAAAATATGGCTGCTACTTCATACAAAAAGTATGTTCAAGTTTGACTGCAAATTCTCGATCTAGCTCCCTTTGAAGCCAGCATTCCGGTTGCACAATCTTTCAGAACTTGTATTTGAGTCATACTCTTGAAACATCAGATTCTGAAAAGTTTTCCTAGGGTATTGCATTTCGAGAGGTGAATTTTGTTGTTGGACAGGTGAAAGTGGAGACGCTCATGGAGGCTGGAGATCCTAGGGTTACCATATGCAATGCAGTGCACAAGAACAACATCGATCTTCTTATCCTGGGGCATGAATCTCATGGAATCCTCAAGAGGTTTAAATTTTTTCTATTTGAGTCATGAAAAGTTGGTGCATATAATTCACGGACCGCAGGTTAATCGGGCCATTTTGTCAATTTCAATTCCATACCGTTACTCCAGCATTTCGTCTATCATTTTCTTCTTATGATATTTAGCTGATGTTTCCCATCCTATTGTTAATGACAATTGACAGCATAGTGCTAGGTCATATATCAAAGCATAAAACTTGGTTCTGTATAATGAAGTTGAGTTGGTCGTTGCAGGGTTTTCTTGGGGACTCCAAGCGATCACTACTTGAATAATGTGAAGTGCCCAATACTTGTGGTGAAGAGGCCAGAATAAGCGTTCGATAACTGCTTATATGGGTTTATGTCAGCTATATGACCACCAGAGTGTATGTATTAAAGTCCTCACTGTGTAAGAAGTAGCAGATTATCTCATCTGAACTAAATCTGTCAGATCTGTAAATTCATATTCAGAACCGTCTATAACTAATCACAGTTCACAAGAATCCAAGTGCGATTACCTCAGTCACCATAACCATGGTCTGTAGCTCTGTCTATCTTATTAGTGAAAGAAATGTTCTCACTTAAGAATATATATCTTCTTTTCAGCAAACACTATCTCGATTAACAATGCTCTAAACATTGATTGTATTGTCATGTTCTATGCAGAAGAGTATCTTTCTCTAGTCAATAAAATATCTTGCAGACACCAGTGAGACAACATGGTTTCCTGGTTAGGACGTTACTCCACATTCGCAGTTGTAAGAAGAGAATAAGTTGACCCTCGAAAAGCTTTGAGCAAGCCTGATTTTCTTCTTCAGTTTATTAGATTGAAAAGGAGCATATTAGTCGCTCCTGCAAAGAAAAGCAGAGAGCATTGTTTTAGCCAATTTAATGGTTTCAAGAGTAGTCTATGCAGTATGAGTGGGTCATCTCAAAAGATCGGTGCACGTAAAAAAGAGTTGGAAGGAGCTTGAATCTATCCTTTTCCTTAGCTGTCCGATCCAATGCTTTAAGGAGCATTGATCGTGAAATGAGAGAGAAAAGGAATGAGGAACAGAGCTTGGAGCTAGATGTTGTCATGCCTACTGTTAGAAATAGAGCGCCTTTTATCGAGTGTAAAACACAAGTACCACTTATACATGTTCGAGGGAGATTTGCAGATGCCATTAGAATCTAACTAAAGAAACTCCAAATTCACAGTGATGACATATTTCATCAGGTTTCAACACTGACAATGGCTAGCTTAGCAATCACTCGATAACTAGTCTAGATATAGAAATCAAGGACAAGAACTATCACTTACCGTGATATGTTTCAATGGTCTTGAAGTTGATTGAACAGATGAATCGTTAGTCCAGACATAAATGAGAGAATTGGAGACAGGAATGGACAAATGTTGCATTCCTAGCTCTCGACATTGCTCCTCCTAATAGAAAGAGAATCCATCCCGGTTCGCTGTCAACATAGTCTGAATGTATCCATGGTGAATGTTCATTTGGTACACGTCAAGTGGCGAAAAAGAACATATTACGCATAACTGAAGGAGGATGGCTCTGTTTCTCCCCTGAAACTTGCACCATGCTTCATATTTGCCCCGAAGTTTTACTCTGTTTCGGTTTACCACTTACCTTCTCACAATCTGCGTCAATTTCATCCCAAAATCCTCATGATCTCTACCGGTTCTTTCGTTTTGTCGTTGGAACTCAATCGCTTTCGAACTAAATGGCGTACAAAAGGAGAGCAAAGTTCTACATCACATAAATTATTGGTATAGTTACGGCCCGTTGCGTGCGCTTCCAGAAGCGTGCCTACAATATCTCGAGCATTTTTACACGAGCTTTACTAAAGTGAGGCGTACAGAGCGACACAAAGATTAACTTTTATGGGGGAAACCCATATGGGAGACAAACTTGCATAATCCAAATTGCCATTTTTCCCATCCTTCCATGGATTTTCGCCGCTGGAGAAGAACATGCTCGTGGCGTTTCTGCAGACAAACCGCGTGGCAAGAGCAAACCAAAGGATAAGAAATAATGCAAAAGAGAAGAAAACGAAACGCTAGCGAAGAAGAGGCTTATCCATTTTGTCTCTAGTTTCGTCTTCGTCACTGTAGGCGCGAAACTCCGAAGTCGGACTGGTTGTTCTGACCTTCGAAGAAAAAAAGAGAAAACCGCCTCCTGTTTCCCAACTACCATGACGGACCAATCGCTTCATCTCGAGAACCTCGAAAACCACCGAGGCACCGTCTTTCTTTCGACCCTTTTGGCACGTTCACACGCTCATAAACTCGTCGTACGAGACAAAAAGCCGGCGGTTTCGATCAGGAAGTTCTCACCGTTCGGTGTGCATCGTCGTCCCCCTTTTTCTGTTGGTAGTAGCCGAGGTTCTTGTCGTTAAACCTTAGAGATATGGCGGAGGTAGTGGCGATGGATGGCGTGGACAAGAGGAAGGTGATGGTGGCGATCGACGAGAGCGAGTGCAGCCACCACGCGCTCGTGTGGGCCCTCGACAACCTCAAGGACTCGCTCTTGAGCTCGCCGCTCGTCGTCTTCATGGCTCAACCCCCTTCTCCGCAGAATCTCTCCTTCGCTGCTAATCTCGGCCTTGCTCGCATGTACTGCCCTGTTTCTGCCGGTAAACCCCAAAACTTATCTCTTGCTCGCATGTACTGCCCTGCACACACTCTCTTTCTCTCTCTCCTTCGCTGCTAATCTCGGCCTTGCTCGCATGTACTGCCTTGTTTCTGCCTCTAAACCCCAATACTAATCTCTATCTCTCTCTAGAAATATCGTTCCTTTTACGCTTATTCGAACTTCGTTTCTCTCCATTCGTTCGTGTTCGGGTTGGTAGGTCCTAATGTGGTTTGATTTTCATTAATGTTGAGGTTTCATAATCAGGTAGATTTTGTTATCAGCTTAGCTTGACTGAAGGTTGTCAATGATTCTTATTCCCCTGTTATCACTCTGGTTCTACCCGGTGAACTTATAGCTTGTCGCAGCGTGCAGGATACATACGTATTCGGTTTCAATTAAAGAAAAAAACAGTTTTCCTTGTAGTTTGCATTGAAAAATTAAAGGTTTTTTTTTCGTATATTACAATATGTGAAGGATTAGTTGGATGTTGCGTTTGCAATTACAGCTCCAGACTTTGTGAATTCCATCCGAGAGCAACACAGGAAGCTTACGCTGGCTTTCTTGGATAAGGCCAAGGAAATTTGCGCTGCACGAGGGGTAATTCGTACAATTCCCTTTGATTGTTGTTCATGTTGGAACCAACGTGAGTATCAGGATAGGACACGCTTGGAGTCATTGGAATGAGCTTGTTTGTGAAGAATTTGAGTTTGCACTCTGTTTTGAAATTGCAGGTTAGTGCAGAGACTATTACAGAAGTTGGGGATCCGAAAGTAGCAATATGTGATGCCGTTGAAAAGAACAATGTCACGCTTCTCATTTTAGGCGACCGCGGACTTGGAAAGATCAAACGGTTAGTCTCATAGCTACATTAACAGAGGCAGAGGAGATGTCATTGTTTTCCTCTGACTTCCATTACTCATGCCTGATTGATTTACATTGTGCCACTCCCCAGTCGGACATATTCTGCATTTGCTAGTATAAATAAAACTCAGACGGTAAACATGAGCCAGAGCCATGGAGATGAGGAACTGCATGTGATTTAATCAAGGATCCTTCTCATTCTATCTCAATTTGTTGATGTGATGTTCTATCTTTTTCTAATTTACAGGGCTATTCTTGGGAGCGTGAGCAATTACTGTGTTCAGTATGCAAAGTGTCCTGTTCTTGTTGTGAAGAAGGCGGACTAAAGATAGGAAAGTTGGTACATGTTTGTGTTAAAATCTAATTGACAGTTTGCATATGTCAAAGGCAAAGGATACACACAGGCGAGGGTTTCATCCATTGATCTAGTTTAAAATATCTTGGCTGTTGAAAATATATGGAGTGTGGTTGTGTTATAAATTCATTCCCTCTGTGTCTGTTGTTGCATGCGATGGGACTAACAATCTATACTTGTAGTCTCATCCACACCTGTCAATCAGAAGCTGTACGATATTGTTCCACTCCCTTTATACTTTTGCACCTCATTTTGTATCTGTGAATTTCTCTATCTGGTGAGTTGACTTCTTTCTTGATAAACATATTAATAGACAGAATGTCTTTATCTAGTGATAATGGACTGAACAGTTGTTCAACACAAGAAGATGCTTAGTAGTAAGATATGAGCACCTGACCACCTATACAAGCATGAACTGCAATTGTAGTCTGTGATAGCTCTCTGTTACTCCAATATGCGTTACATCTTCACCTTATCCTCCTTTTAGTCCCATAATTTCAACGATAACTTGAAGCCACTCACTTGAAAATGCGGTTTAGAGTGGCTGCGAGTCGAACCCCCCCTTTAGCTAACCGAAGATGAACGGTTGGTAAACGGGACAGGAAATATGCATCTGCGAGATAATAGCATGCTTATCGTTAGTCATTTGCTATGAAGACTGTCTGAAGAATCTTCCAACTATTAGCAGTAGAATCGTGTACCTTTTAATACCGAACCTTCACTCACACCTTCATATGCCCACTGACAGGCTGCGGTGATACTTTCGGATGCATATCTGTGACATTCATTCATTCTCATCCAGTGTATGATAGATAAAATTTGCTGACTTAGAACAAATTTATGAAACATGTGATAGTTGATGATGGAAACATCGACAATTCTTCAACAGATTGTAGAATTATTTTTTTTCTCTAGTGTGGTTATTTAACGTACGTGTCTGGGCAAGGTGGCTTGGTAGAACTGCAGGTCTCCCAGTCTTTAACTTGATCTGCCCATTCATTCTGTCATTGAACATCACAAAGTAAGAAAAGAAATGTCCATCTCAGTGCATTCAACTCTCGAAAAAATAATAAAGTTCATTCGATAGATCTGCAAAGTTGCATATGTTAGAGACCGTGATGTTCTGCTGAATCGCGTCGACAAGGCCGTCTACGTTGGAGCTGTAGTATCTTTCTTCGGCTGTCTCAATTATATTATTATCCCAAACCTGCACAATTCACAAGTTCAATCGCAATTCTGCCGTAGCATTAAACTTTAGCATATATGGAGTTTGCATACATGGTGGAGGACTTGTTTCTGGGTGTACCAGCGGACGTCAATGGTGTTGGCCCCTCTGTCTGAGGTGAAGCCTACATGCAGAGGCTGCACATAACATGGCATAACAATAAACTTAGATGGTGGTGCGTTTCGTGATATAGAATACACGCATATATGTCCATACAATGCCGCATCTCGTTTTAGGAAGCTGTGTACCTGATGAATGTCTCCCATGAAATGAGAGAGAAACATGAGTGCTTCTGTAAGATTATCTGTTGCAAGTTCAAAGGAGGAGTTGCTTAGTGAGATCGACCAGACAAAATACGAGAAAAAGACTGGGGGAACGATGATTAAATAAATCTTACATGCAGCTCGAATAGAATTGCTTCCATAATCAAGAAGCTGGGAGGTGTAATTGTTGATGGCTCCTGCAACACACCGTCCCTTCTCTCCATTGTCATCCTTGCAGTCCCCTGCACACGTAAAGCCAATTCTCAGGCTCTTGATGATTCTTAGGACACTCACCGTTCTGGTACTTTCGAAACTACATTCGTTCAAGAGATAGAGAGACGACAAAATCACGGTCTAGTTCCTTGGGTGACATATCTTGAGTATGTCCAGGCTATAAAACTACATGCAAACAGTTCTGATGGAAGAAGTCTGCTTTTTTAAGGGAAAAATTATCCTGTGAACTTAGTACATATACTAAACTGAATATGAATCGTCTAATTTGGTCGGTTCCCTGTCCGATCTGGTCTAGGTTCAGTTCAGTACATATACCACACTCACGTAAAGACTTCTCTTTACAAGAGGGATTGTGTCGTTTTGACCTCAAACGTAATCAAAGCCACCGTTGCTGTGGCATAAATTTAATCTTGGCGACTTTTTGTCATGTAAAGATATCGAAGATTGATCTTTCGTTTCATCCATGTGTTTCTACTCTTTCTACAACATTAACAAGAAATTCTAGGAGTGGCCTGGTAAGGGAAAACGATTCAACCACAGACAAAGGGGAGAGACAAAAAAGGGAGTTGTGGTAGTAATGACATACTGCTGTACTGGTACTTGCAGAGGTTGTCGGGCGTATTGATATAGTGAAGCTCTGAGGACCAGCGATAACGGAACTTCACTCGGTCCGCCCACGCGCACACGCTCGCCAAGTCCTCTGCCGACTCCGGCAGCAGTTGCTTCACCGCGTCCGCCGCGGCTCCGGTCAACCGAGACTGTCCACGACAAAATCCCGAAACCCGTACAGACTTAAACTATAACCATAAAGCACAACGCGCTGAGCGAGCCCATTTGCGCTGTTACAGATGAACTCACCTCAGCAATCTTGCAAATGGTATAGTGCCCATCAATCCCCCAGCCGTGAGCAACTCGAAGGATCGACATTGCCAGCACGAAAGCCGCCATTTGAGCTCTGTGGCGCTCCATTTTCTTTACCTGGGAAGCAACAGGCAATGTGGGACTCAAGACTGACTCACCTTATATGCTGCTGTGATTGTGATTCGTGTTGTCATATATAAGGGAACTGGAAGATAAAAAAGGAGAAAGCCGAAAAGGAAAGAGCCCCTCCTTTAACGGTTCCGGGTGCTGGGGTTGGTGTGAACTGTACGACTGAGCAATCTCATGGATTGCTGCTGCGTGCCCCATCAAATGTCTTGATACAGACATCAATGCTGTCCATTTTCGTGCATGCTACCAGACAAATATGGCAATGGATCTTCACATATTACAGATTCTTTTCTTTTTGTGACGATGGAGCGAAACCCATTAAGTAAATAAATCCGGGTCCATTCAGATATGTCATTAACTTGATGAATCAGATAGGGTTGATTTGCGCTTTAGCGATGTCATGCAGTTGCCCTTACGAAACTTAGTTCACGAGTACGACATGATTACGTGGTTGGGAAGGTAAGGAGTCGCGTTGAAGTGTCGGATTTGAGGGACTGAAGGAACGTCGCCATACCTGTGGGCTCTTAAAGTGACAACTGATGCCGGTTCTTCGGCGAAAGGGATTCTGTCTTCATGGACTTGATTTTATTACAAGATCTTAATGATCTTAAGAAAGGAAAACGTGTGTGGGCTGTTGTTTCCTCCAATGCATGCGTGTAGAAATGGCAAATTTGAAACGGGAAAAAGAAGAAAGAAATCAAGGCAATAGGATTTCCATTTCTTACCCTTTCCATCTCTTGTTTCTTAGTTTTTCGTGCACGAAGACCGAATCTATCCCTTCAATCATATTGAAAGTAGGCCATTCATGTCCAGACCGGAAAAAGCTTAACGAAGAAATCATCTCATTTTGATCCTATCCCAAAATGTCGAAGAACACTTGTCTCTATTGGTGCATAATATCTTTCCACAAAACTTGGAATATTGCGTTTGAAATTCCAAACATCAAAACATGGGTTTGGCCCAACAAATCTCGGGACGTGCTGGCCCATGGCACGGTCCACTCAGAAAACGGGTCGGGCCTGGCATGGCAAACTACAGTGCCATGGCCCATCAGTGCGTTGGAAATGTCATTCGACTCTCTCTCTCCTTCAACTTATGCGATTAGTGCTCATCACATGGGTCATCGAACTTCTAATTTGTGCAACTGAATCTTTTAAATGGTACAATTTGTGCATTCGAATTCTTGGTCGTCAATACAATTATAAACTACTCACATTGTTGCTGACATGGTCATTTTATGTTAAAATAAAGAACACGAAATTATGTGAAAATCTTAACAATTGTTTGTTCAATCATGAGTAAAAGTTCTTAGAAGATGAAGAGAAGAACTAATACAAACGATAGAGGAACACAAGGTGGAATTTCTAGAGGTGCGCACCGGTCCAAGGTGGACCCTAGAACCGAACCGGCGAACCGACCCCAACCAAACCCATTTTAACTATATTTGTTATTTGTTTTGTTTTTAGGTGACCATAATTCATATTTTATGTTATGTTTTTTGAACTTTTTATTGTTTTTTTTTTACGTGCTCTTCTTTTATGGGTTGATGCTTTTGGTAAGTGGAGATTTTGTTGTTGCTGCTTTAGAGAAAAATGACACAAATGGTCCTTAAATTTTGGTCCAATGTCTAGTGCCGTCCCTAAACTTTTAATTTGCTCAACTTGATTACCAAACTTTAACTTAATGTGCAATGCGGTCGCTGAATTTTTAATTTGTTCAACGTGGTCTCTAAACTTTTTTTACATACTCAATTTCAGTCTATGGACAATATGAAAATGTTCAGTGTTGTTATTTCATTAATTGAAGTTCGCGGAATTTGCCGATTTGGCTTCTAATGTGACACGATTGAACAGTGAACAAGAAAAAATTACAAGTGGATTATCTACATAAGATATTCAACTCAAATTAAGATATAACAATCCTTTTAATTTGTTCAATTTGGAAAAAAATTATTATTCATGTTATTCAATGACGTGGATTATTCAAGGTTGGACTGGCCCAACCCTAAAACTGCCCAACCGTAGGAATTTCCTACACAACTTTAGGACACTAAAACTTAGTTCATTTACTTAATAGAAGTCTAAAGTATCGAAAAAGAGATATATATTAGAGACATAAATAATTAAACATAGATCATGTAGGAGTGAAAGCTAATCTATTACAATTTGTATAAATTGTAACATGAAAACTTGTCAAATAAGATGCTTAATTTACCTAAAAAAGAAAATTGACGGGTCGTGCCAGGCACAGGCCCAACCTTGCCCGAGATCGGCAAACGCTGTTGGTTAGTCGTAGGTAGCTCTGTGGTACTTGTTAATAGTTTTTTATTTCTTTTAGCAAAAAAAATAGTTTCTTTTATTTCAATTTCAAATATTTTTAATTACTTCTTCTATCATCTTTTTATTAGACTTAATCACTAGACTAAACACTTTTCCCTTTATAAGTAAGGTCATGGCAGTGTAATTATTTGTATCGATTCCAAACACTTGATTATATTCTACAAGTTACAGGACTCGACGTCATAAATTAAAAGATTGAGAGTTCA